CATTCGACTTGCTTTATTTTCTATAAAGTATAATCTCCTGTTTTTTTCCTCATGAGTGCAGTGATGGCTTTGGTTCTCTTTTGGAACAGATGGTTGAAGCATTGTGCCGTCATGTGTCAGACGACTCTCCAACAGTGAGACGTCTCTGTCTAAGAGGTCTTGTTCAGGTATTTATGCTCATTTTGAACTTCCATTTTTCCCTCAACTTTTTAATTTAATCAACTACTTTGCTTTTTTTTGCAATTGTGGACTCTTATTATTAAATGGTTAATCTCATAAATTTTGTGAATGAGCACTATCTTACAACTTGGACTCGCAGATGCCATCCATCCATGTCCTTCAATACACTACTCAGATTCTTGGGGTAATATTAGCTTTGCTAGATGATTCAGACGAATCAGTTCAATTAACTGCAGTTTCATGTTTATTGATGGTAAAAATGTATATGCCTTTACATCTTATAAAATACAATCCAGCTCCCACCATGGTGCATGTGTGAAACTGGAATATGCAATTGCAGGTTCTAGAGTCCTCCTCATCTGATGCTGTGGAACCTGTACTGCTCAACCTTTCAATTCGGCTTCGCAATCTTCAAGTGAGTTAGATACAAGCATTTACATGTTTCTTCTTCTTTTGTCACCTTTTATAGCATTCCTATCGCAACAATTTCATATTATATGTGTATCAAATGACGGGTACTAGTTTCCTCAATTAGTTTGATTACACCACATTATCTGGCTTTTCTACTTTCTAGTAGTCGAATATGAACCCAATACCAAACTGTTTTGATCTGTTTGTAGCATTTGAACATTTTAATTATGTGACTTTTTTTTTCAAATTTCTCCATTAGAAATGCTCACAATTTGGTACCAATAGAATACTTATCTCAAGTTAGAAAATTGTGGCAATTTTATTCTGTTGTCTCGTTTGTGATGAATATATCGTACACCTCTTGCACACTTCTAGGACATCGCTTATTGGCACTCAACATGCCTTGCTATTTGCATTGCCTATCTATTCAAACATGTTGTCATCACCACCACCTAGATCTCAACTATGTTGGGTTCAGTGGGATGCCAAATGCGGTATAGTTTGATACCTGATGTCCTTCCTTGACATTTTTTCTCAGATGACTGATGAAATGAAATTCCAGAATCATCATCGTAGGGTCTTCCCCCTTACATGGATAACGATTAGTTGATATATAGTTTCTATAACTGTTTCTCATTGCATGTGCATCAACAATTTACAAATATTATGTGGTCATCACTCTATTTGCATTTTTTGTTTGGGTAACAGGTTTGCTTCAATGCAAAGATTAGAGCGAATGCCTTTGCAGCGTTTGGTGCACTCAGCACCTATGTTGAAGGCCCGATACTTGATTCATTTCGTGAACAGGTTGTCTGGACTGTGATTTGAACTATTAGAAACTAGTGTACATACATATGGGTATTTTGTGTTCAAGAAAATGCATTTATTATAAGTCTTGTATACTCTTGTCCCATACGGAGTATTTGGTTGGTACGGAGTATTTGGTTTGTACTTGTTATAAATGGAAAAACCCAAAGTTATTTGTTGTATAAATTGTAGAATTATGATGCCATGATATTGGCCTCTGTTGCTTAATTCTCTTAGGTTGTGTTTTAGGAGCCACAACTTCACATATTAACTCTTAAAGCTTATCACTCTCTCCTACCCTCAGATTCATGCTGCCTTCCCCCGTATGATTCTACATCTTCACGATGATGATACAAGTGTCCGACAAGCTTGCCGGGTAAAAGCCAGTTTGAACATACTTTTCACTTCTACATTGTCAATACTTGGGAGTGGGAGTATTTGAGTAAACTGAAATTTGTTTTACAGACCACTTTAAAATGTCTTGCTCCATTAATTGAAATTGAGTCAATCCCTGCTCTTCTCAATGCACTTCGGTTCAGTTCGGACCATAGGTATGTTATTATTGGATTATTCATGACCCTTTCGCATTCAATAGGACTAGGTCTAATGCCATCTTTACTTTTCAGAAGTGATTATGAAGATTTTTTGAGAGATCTTGCAAAGCAACTCACTCAGTATCTTGGCCCCCGAGTTGACACTTATGTGTCAGCAATAATACAGGTCTGACTCACTCTTGTTTAGATTTATTTATACTCGTAAAAATTAAGAAAACGGAAATGTTTCTTATCAGTTCAATCTGTTGAGGAATTCTTTTTGTTAAGTTACTCTTAATCTGTAAACTATGACTCTGAAAAAGGACTAACAGATATTGCTTACACAAATTTATAAAATAAGAACTCATTTCAACTGAGAAAGAAGTCCCCCCCCCCAAACAATAATAACTTATCTTTCCCTGAAAAAAGTTGTTACAAATGAAGCTTATTTTCATCCTATTGATTATTATTTTAATTTAAAAGACTGTTTCAAACAAGTTGTGTGTGTTACATTTAGCTATACCAAAAAGTAACTTAAAAATATTGCTATATTTAATGATTTTAAATAGTTATGCCTTACTAAAATTAAAAGGTTGTAACATTGTAAACCATACTCTTTTTATGTGGGTATCAAATGCTAGACTTTGAAGATTGACACTGAAATATTAGTCATGTTATACTGTTTATTTGGTTACTTGTTACATTTTGCAAAAGTATTAGTTGGTTATTTTCATTTACTTTTTGGAGTCGTCTATATCATGGTATTTCTTTCTGTTGTAATATAAAACAACATAGCTAATGAGATTAAGGAACTCCTATAGGGGAGAACATATCAAAGTACATAATTAGAAACTGATCAGATCTGCAATCTATCTAATCCAGTAAAATGTTTTACATTCAGGCATTTGAGTCTCCATGGCCAGTTATTCAAGCCAATGCCATTTATTTGTGTAGCAGCATGCTTGCACTTTCAGATGATAAGCACATCTCAGCCCTTTATTATAGCCAGGTTTGTCTCATCTATGTGCCTTTTATGGGTCATACTCGGCCTCTGCTCACCCCAAATCTTCTCCAATTACCATTTTGCACGTATATTTTCTAAGCACCTACAATACAAAATTTGCCGAAATTAGCTAAAATGAAATCTGGTCTAATTATTTCTGCCCATATTGTTTTTAAGTATCAACCGTTGCAAAATTATGTAAAGCGTCAGTTGAAAAAACAACCCTAGTGAAATCACACAAAAAGTAGGGTTTGGAAGAGGGTGTGTACTACTTTAAATTTTGTTTGTCAATGCATTTAATTCTTGTGAACCTTTTCTCTTAAAATTTACAGAGTACATGATGGATTACATTTGTTATTGGTCTAGGTCAAGCCCCCCACCCCCACCCAGCCATTGCTTTTTTATGACCGGTGAAATGTATTTGTGTGATCTTTAGGTGTTTGGATTATTGGTGGGAAAGATGAAACGTTCCAGAGACGCAATTGTTAGAGCGACGTGCTCTGCATCTCTAGGGCTGTTACTAACATCTTCCTCCAATTCAAGCTCATGGAAGGATTCTCGGCTTGATCAAGGAGACCCCACAAGGACCCATGAACAAGAGTCAACCCGGAAATAAAAGTCTGAACTGACCGCGCTGTTATTGGGGGCGAGCATTTGTGGGCTCCGCCGTGGATCATACGCAACATCATCTCTAAGTCTCTAACTCAATCAAGTCTCCACAGAGATTTCTTGGAAGAGGCGCTTTGTACAGGTTTAATCTCGTTTTCAAACATGTACATCCACTACAATGTGTTTCTTTTTGTATAGCTTTGATTTTGTGCTATGTGGTGTTTGTTTATGCATATGTTGGGACCTCTGTTTGGTTTTGGTTTTAAGACTTAAGAGGGAAATGCACCAGTTGTTCACTGTATTCAACTCTAGCATATATTTGTATCCTGTGATGTAAGGTCCTCATTTTTGGGTGTGTTATAAGACCAATATAATGTTGTAGTCCCAAAAAGGCTTTCCGTTTCCTGCATTTTTTTGAGTAATACTAGAGTCACAAACAAAACACTCACAAAATGCACAAACTTTGTGTATTTAAGTTTTTACCCTCTCCATCCCTAAATCATTTACTCTTTATGCAAAACGAAGTAAAAAAAAGTGGATGAAAAAGAAATTACACTTCTCTTATTTTGGCCCAAAACTAAAATGGAATAGTTTTAAGGGACCGAGGGAGTAGTATAAAAATAAACCTTAAAAAAATTATATAACCTCTGGGGTGCAACGTTTTTCGCACATGCCATTTCAAGATTTCATGAAAGTCCAAAATACTTTGAAAAAAAATCAGAAGCTTCTACTTGTCATGTGACTATTTGAGGGTGTGGACAAATAACACACGGAGTAATAATGTTCCAATAATGCTTCTTATCCTCAAAAAAAATTGGCTCAATTTATATAACTCTATTCTGAAAATAAATTTCAGACTTTTTAATTTCATAATAAGATTAAGAATAAGTGGCTCACAATTATTTCTTTTTCCAATCGAATTTCACCCATTAATTTTAAAATTTTATCATTTTTCTTTTAACTACACAAAGCTTGTCGATTAATTTGGTACTCCATATGTCCCAATTTAAATCGTCTGTTTCAGTTTATGATGTTTGACTGAGATTATTTTCGAATTGTTTTAAATGAAAAATGGTGTAGAATTAAAAAAAATAAAAGTTAAATATTCAAAAATTACATCAAAAGGCCTACAAAATTAGTGGTGAAATAACCAATTCGACTAAAACTTGAAGTTCTAATTACTACGGAGTATTATGATAACATGCCAACAAAAAACCAATTCAACCTAAATTCAAATTTATAATTTTAGGTGGAAAAAAGGTTTTTATATCTTAGATAAAGAAGGCATACTTTCATAAAATGATGAGCTCCATTTCTAGAGACTCTCTCACAACTGGTCGAATCTTAAATTAAAATTTAATTACAAACGAACTCACAAATGTTGGTACCTGCACCTGTATTTTTTGAACATAAAAGGATATAGTTTCAGTGTCCCTAGACACTAGCTAATAGTGCATGACAAAAGAATTGCTGTCCTAAGCCCTTATGTCATGATCTGACCCCCCNATAAAATGGAACCTTTGAAAACATGCAAAAGCATCATCACATTTTCAAGCCTGTCTATCTATCCTACAAGAAAACATGGCAGTCCTCACATATCAGCAGCTCCATTTCATCTTGTTCCCATTCATGGCTCAAGGCCACATGATCCCCATGATAGACATAGCCAAGCTCTTGTCTCACCGGGGCGTCATGGTAACCGTTCTCCTGACGCCCCACAACGCTGCCCGGGTCGGCCCTGTCGTCTCCCGGGCACAGGAATCCGGGCTGCCCATCCAAGTCCACCTCCTCGACTTCCCGTGCGCCGAGGCCGGGCTACCCCCCGGGTGCGAGAACTTCGACCTCCTCCCGTCCTTCGACCTGGCGATGAACTTCTTCGACGCCACGAAGAAGCTCCGTCCCCAGGTCGAGCGGCTGCTGCGGGAGGGCCTGAAGCCCTCCCCCAGCTGCATCATCGCCGACATGTGCTTCCCCTGGGCGACCGAACTCGCCCACGGGCTCCACATCCCGCGGATCGTTTTCCACGGGATGTGCTGCTTCTCTCTCCTCTGCGAGCACAACCTAGTCCGTTGGCCCGAGCTCGAGAAGGTCGGGTCCGACTCGGAGTACTTCCGGGTCCCCGGGGTACCCGACAAGATCGAAATGACGAAATCTCAGGTCACACACATGGTGAACCCAAGGTCAAAAGAGTGGAGTGAGTTGTGGGGTGAGATCATAAAAGCAGAGGAAAATGCTTATGGGATTTTAGTGAACAGCTTTGAGGAACTTGAGCCAGAGTACATAAAAGAGTTCAAGAGGGCAAGGGGGAAACATGTTTGGACCATTGGGCCTGTTTCTTTGTGCAACAATGTGGGGCCTGACAGGGGTGAAAGGGGAAACAAGGCCTCCATTGATTTGGACCAGTGCTTGAACTGGCTCAACTCAATGGGGCCCGCTTCGGTCCTCTTCGTGTGCCTCGGGAGCCTCTCCCGCTTGCCGACGCCCCAAATGGTGGAGCTCGGCCTCGCCCTCAAGGCGTCTAAGCGCCCCTTCATTTGGGTCATCAGGTACCGAAAAAAATAATTCAGTGCTACCAGAAATTTTGAGATTTTTTCAGAAAAAATACTTTAAGATTATATAATTATCACTTATTTGTTAGAATATAAGAAACATTTCCTGGGCCACAACCACAAGCTTGAGCTTTTGGTTGAATTGGTTTCTTGACATGGTATCAGAGCCTTGTTGACTAAGAGGTCACGGGCTCGAAACTCAGCGCCACCCAGTTTTAAAAAAATTAAGGTTTCACGTGCAAGGCTCAAAAAAACTACGCCTGCACGTGAGGGGGCGTGTTAGAATATAAGAAACATTTCCTGGGCCACAACCACAAGCTTGAGCTTTTGGTTGAATTGGTTTCTTGACATTATTCACTTTCATTATGATTCACGTGACGACGTTTATTTTTTTGGATTTTTAAGATTTTTCGTTAATCGGGTTTTTATTTATTTATTTTTAAATTAGGCACTTATCCAAGGAGTTCCAAGACTTTCTTGAGCAAGAAAAATATGAGGAGGGAGTGAGAGGGCAAGGGCTCATAATCCATGGTTGGTCCCCACAAGTGCTCATCTTGTCCCACCCTTCAGTGGGGGCATTCATGACCCACTGCGGGTGGAACTCGACGCTCGAAGGGATCGCCTCGGGGGTCCCACTCCTCACCCTGCCGCTATTCGCGGAGCAGTTTCTGAACGAGAAGCTGACGGTGAACGTGCTGAAGGTCGGGGTGAGGGTCGGGATGGAGTCACCGATCGTGTTCGGGGAGGAGGAAATGGCGGGAGTCCAAGTGAGTAGGGACAAGATCGTGGCGGCCATCGAGGAGGCGTTCGGCGGCGGCGGCGAAGGGGAAATGAGGAGAAAACGCGCGAAAGCGTTCGGAGAAGCGGCCAGGCGAGCGGTGGAGGAAGGAGGCTCTTCTCACCTCAACATTGCCAAACTAATTCAAGATGTTGGGGAGGAAGCTAAAGCTCTAAAATCAGCAGCATGAAGCTAATTGTTATCATTTTGTTCTTAAATCATTAAGTATCCATTTTGACTTTCTACTATACATATATATTAAGAATCTAATAATTGTAGACATATTATATGGCTACATTCATTCAATTTTTAATGTATCTGAAAATATGGTACTAGTAATGAACAATTATTAAAGTTCCCAGGGAGTACAAAATATACTCCTAATTAATACTCTCTCCGTACCTAAATAGATTACAATTGTTTACGCGATTTCATTAAGTATCTAATAAAATAAAATATTCTTGTCACCTTTTATTTTGTAAAACTTTTGACGTATTAATATGTAATTTTTATTTTATTGATATACTAATTTGTAAATAAAATGATTTCAAAAAGTTAAAAATTTTACTCCGTAATAGCTTTTAGTCTTTTACCTTAAAAATCTATGTTTAGGAATCTAGTGTTGTTGAAACATAAATATGGTACATGAGGATAGAGAAATAATATACACCCTCCGTCCGTGAGTGTTTGTCCACTTTCATTTTTGCACACCATCCAATGCACTTCTTTAATCCATTTTATCTTCTAATTTGTATATTAAAAAATTATAAAAATTACCAAGTATATATTAATAATCTATATGTTAAGACGAATCAAACAAGATCACACATGACTATATATTTTTAGGCTTACACATTGAGAGAATTTGATGAGTCAAAGTGCTTAGAAGAACAGTTCCAAAAGTCAAAAGTGGACAAACACTCAGGGACGAACCAAGTAAGTGACAAACTTTTCAAAATATAACAGTGGAACTTTTTTTTTGAAACGCGCAAAAAAAGTAATTTGAAACATAATTACAGGACAGAAAAAGTAACAACAACAACAACAAACTCACTGGAATCCCGCACTCGGGAGAAATATGAAACATTATTATTATTACTTGTGGAATTCGAGGACGGTGAAGAAGAGATCTTTGTCATAGTGGGCCCGGAGAGAGCGAAAGCCGGCGGATTGGCCGAGGTGTCGGTATTCGTCCTCGGTGCGGTGTTTGCCCTTGGCGTTGTAAATGGTCATGACGAAAATGTCCCCTTCGAGGAGGAGGCGGGTCCTTCGGGTGTCGTCGGTCTTTTCGGGCAAAACGGGCTCGCAGGCGATCAACTTCCCTCCTTGTGGGAGGGCAGCATAGGAGTTGTTCATGATCACCTTTATCTCTTCATCACTCCATGTTGTCAGCACCCACTGCACTAGTGATAAAAATAATAACTCTTTGCACTTCTAACACAATGGAATATTATATGGAATATATGGAGGGGGTCTTATTCATGATTTTTTATACTCCATCCGTATTAAAATTAACTTTCCATCGTCTTAAAATTAACTTTCCATTTGAGAATGAAGATGAGAATGCAACGTACGGACCTTCATGAAAATGGTGTCGCCTTTAGGTATGGATTTGAACATGTCACCGCCAACGTGGGCTACGCCTGCAGCCATCATCATCATACAAACCCAATAACTTCATCCACAATTTTTTTTTTTTGAAAGATTTCAATATTTCATCATTTGTGTGCCAACCCTTCTTCAGGCCTTGCCTTATTTTCTTGTGAGATTAGTAAAAATTATAGGGAGTATCATAAAATTTTTTTGAGTGGTACCAGGAATGTGGGGAGCCTTCTGAACAACCTCAGGCAAATCGAAGTTGACGCCATGTTGGATGGTGGGATGCTTCTCTAAGATCATCCTCAGGCAATCTCCGGCGCTCCCGCCGACATCGACCAGCCGCGTCACGCCTCGGAACCCGTCGTAACCTTCCAAGAAGGACTTCATGAAAGGGACGGAGACGCCGGACATGGCCCTCTGCATCAGGGCGTTCATCTCCGGGTCCCGGCCGTAGCGGGCGTACGCCGTGATGCCGCCGTTGGCTCTGGCGAAGGGTTCGGAAGTGGAATCGGCCGCCGCCTCGTGGACGAGAGGCCACGCTCTCATGAGCTCCTCCTGGTGGTGCTGCAGCACGTAGGCGCCGTATGATAAGCCGTCTTTGTCCGTCACCAGCGTTTTGCCCACCGCCGTCAGCGAATACCTGCTCTAATTTTTAATGGTCTAATAACTTGTACTTTTCATTTTTATAAATAAAATAATTTTAAAAGTTGGGAGAAAGACCAAAGTATGACTAAAACATTGAAAATATAACAAAATAAGACTTCTATTTTTATTCCCAAAATAGGACTTACATTACCTGGTCATATATATTACCAGGAAAGTATAGTGATTTGCACATGTACACTACCACATTACCACAATGCAAAGTCACATTACCACAGTGCAAAATCTTATTCCGGGAGAAAAAACATGAAAATCCTATATATTTTGGTACTTTTCTTTATGTTTTAGTCCTATTTAGGATGATTTCTATTAAAAATTTAAGTTCTACGTTGAGAAATATGACTTATGTTTCTGTCCTATTTAATGCAAATTTTACCTTTTAAATTGCTCAAAATACTCAATCATAGAATTTACTCTAAATTCAATGCTCAGCCTGAAGATAAATTGGGCCCTACATACCTTCTGGGCGAGGCGTCATTATCGGGGCCGAGATGCTCGTGGAAGACGCCGTAGCTGGTGAGCATGCGGAGGATGCGCTGAAGATTCTCGGCGTCGCCGCCGCCGGAAGGGAGGACGGCGGAGAGGATGTCGGCGGCGGAGATGGGGGAGTTGGATCCGCCTTGCCAGATGGCGTCGGCGACGTTGAGGCGAACGACGGCGTTTAAGGACATGGGGACGCTGATCATGTTGGCCAGCTCCATGATCGCCAGTCTGGAGCTCTCGTCGTGCTCGCCGATCTCTCTCGATTCGCTCTCCATTACTTTCTACTGGGCCCAATTTCTCTGGATTTTGTGTAAGCTCCGCGTTTATCTATTTATTTATTTATATCGTGAAAAATCTGTATGCAAACCAACAAATCACGGAAATTTCGGTCGGGTTTATCTTCGATTTCAGATCACTTTTCTCGTTTTTCTCGGGAAAAGATATTGCAGAGAGTAAGGGTGAAAAAACAGTACTCCCTTCTATCAAATATTTTTAAAATATTACTCCGTATTTTATATAACTAATAAACAATATACCGGAGTATATTTTATTTTTAATTATATATCAAAAGTTGAAAATAATTAATCGAAAAAAGTTAAAACTAGACAAATATCTAGAAATGGAGACAATAGTATTTTCCTCCAAGTCTCAAAAACAACTACGGAGTACGTATTTATTTTTTTTCAAGATGTCTGAAAAAACCTTTTTTTTATTTTTATGATAATTTTTGAGTAACTCACACTAATATTTTTTTTATATATTGTGCCAAATCAAATCAAGCTTTGATTTTTTAAAAAAATCAAGCTTTTTTTTAGAGATGGAGAGAAGTCTTTTGCAAGTTGTCAAGTCATCTGCATGAATGATTGCTACTAGAAGAAAGTAGCACCAATTGGAGTTTCTGCGAAAGGTGGAACGCACCAATGCCGGATTAAGTCTGTATTTCAATGTTTTTCTTTTGTTTGGTTTGATGATACAATTGAGTAGAAAAATACCCTAAATATCACTAAAACATAGATAAAAGTATCAAAACAGGACTTTCATTTTTTTTTTCTAAATAAGATTTTGCATTATAGTAATGTGTCCTATCGTAATGTGGCAGTACCATATATGGTAATGTAAGTCCTATTTCGGAATAAAAACATGGAAGTCCTGTTTTGATATATTTTCAATGTTTTAATCCTACTTTGGTTTTTCCCAAAATTGAGCGAGAAGTGAAAAGAGAGAGAAAAGTGAAGCTGAATTATACTCGGTATTACTTTTTTGCCCTCCCCTTTTTTGATATGTTGTGTGCTATTCCATCTTACAAAACATTACTCATTTTGATATATTTTATGTGAAACAGGTACATGCTTTGATCATAAATTAAATATAATCTAAATAAAGAAATATTATAAAAATTTGATATATCAAAGCTAGATACTAAGATGAATCCAATTATATTAAATTTACATATTATAATTCAATATAGTTTTCTCACAATTTAAAGTTAAAGTGTGTAATTGTTTGACCAAATACTATTCGAAATGTGTAATGTTTTGTGGGACAAAGATAGTATTTCAAAAAAACAATAAGGATAAAAATGCAATTATAGAGTATCACATTTTCTTCTCTTTACTTTTCTCTTCTTTTTCTACACATCCAAACATCTATATTTTTCTTTCTATTTTTTTGGTTTGATTAAATTAGAATAAGTACTCTGTATAAGTAATAAATAGAAGAAATAAGTTATGGTTGAACGGAACACCACCTAAAGAAACAAGAGAATATGTCCAAAGACCAAATTAATTTGGGTTTGTCGTGTTTCGATAGTGTCATCGAATCACACATTATTAGACCTCCAAAGTTGACCCAATACTACCATATCAACCAAGCTACTCCATCTTAATTGCAATCCTTGATTATCAACACTAATTAAACTTATCCACTAACTCCCTCCGTCCCATAAAATCTTTCTCCTTTCTTTTTTTATCCGTCCCACAAAACACTTCTCATTTCTATTAAAAAGTCACTTTTACCCTTTACTTTTTCATACCCTAACTATCACATCATACCTTTTTACTAATAATCTATCCATCAAATCATACTTTTACCCATCACATCAAAAGACATTTTTGGAAATTTAATACCAAAATACACTCTCCTTAAATTCCTCCTAAAAAGCAAAAGTCCCATGTTTCACGGGACGGAGGGAGTATAACTTATAGCCCGTAGTATAACTGAACCCCGGCCTCCACACATGCTCTCTCCTCTATCTTGCATGTTTCTTAAACTTGAACATGGCTCCAAACACCATGCCGCCGCCGGAGCACCCAGCTGGCCACCACATCTACGCCAGAGTCCGCCTCGCGAAGGCAACCGATGCACCTCTCCTTCACAAACTCATGCAACAAATGGCCTCGTACCATGGATACGCTAAGGTTTTCACGGCGACGGAAGCCTCCGTCGCCGCCAACCTCTGGGAGTCCAACCCCCGCCGGCCACCTTTCTTCTCCGCCACGGCGCTCGTTCTCGAGGTCTCACACCACCTGTTTCCCTCCGTCGTCTCCGTTAACTCAGTTGAAAAAAACCTCTCAAATAATGGTAAGGAATATCATAAAGCCTCCCTTAAACATTAGTCCATTTTTAAATTATGTGAAGTCAAATTGTTTATTTTCACTGTTCTATTGTATTTGTTCAGTTTGATTTTTTATAGTCAAACAAAATGAATTTTGAGCTTCATTTAAACAGAAATATTAATATATATTAGTATAAAAATAATTTTATTACTCCGTATTAGATAAATCTTGTTGAAAATTTTCAAAATTCTAATTCGCTGTTCTATTATACAATACAAATTGAGAGCAATTAGAATTTTATTTTATCTGATTTGACTCGAAAAAGTTAAAATGGATAAGAACACTCGAACCGAGATAGTAATTACACCGTATTATTGAATTTTTCCAGTGGCTTGAGTGATTACGTGAACAGATACTAGACTGTAATCGAGTAAATAACATTTCAAAAAAAATTGTCTAATTATGACTTTTGACGTGTAGAGGGACATTCTTCAACCGTTTTTGACCCGGTTCTCAGGACGGTCCGTCTCGATTCGGCCATTGAAGATCGAGACTCGGGAACGTACGAGTCGCGGGTCGGTGGTGGTGTTGTTGCTGGTTATGTTCTTTTCTATCCGAGCTACTCCGGTTACTTCGAAAAGCCGGGCATCTTCATGGAGAATTTTTTTGTGAGGGAGTGTTACAGGGGGATTGGTCTGGGGAAAATGATGTTTGCCGCCGTGGCGGCAAAGGCGGCGGCGCTGGGGTTCTCCGCCGTGGATTGGCTGGTGGTGGGGTGGAACGCGGAGGCGATTGAGTTTTACGTGGGAATGGGGGGCCAAATCATGCACGACGTAAAGCGGTTTAGGTTGTCCGGTGAGAGGCTTTCAGCCTATGCTGCGGAGGAGGAGCAAAGTCCATAGATTGATGATTGTGGAATGGAAGCTTTGAAAATTTTAGAATGATATTTAGGTCAAATTATAAAGTTTGATCATAAATTATATACTTCTCCGATCCTCTCTCAAAATAAGAGATTTCTTCAATTTAAAAACGAAGTTATTTTTAAATCATTATAAAAAAATTTAGTACAAAAATAATATAACAAAAAAATAATATTAAAAAATTACATAAAAATCCTACAAAAATAAGCGATGACAAGATTATTTTATTTTATCAATGATTGATGAAAATGGATAAAGAAAATAGAGTTGAATTGACTTGTGAATAGTAACTAAAAGTCTTTTTTAAATGAAACACTTAAATTTAGTACGGAGTATGACATGGGATGACTCGGGGGTGTTTCGGTGCCCCGTTCATAAAATTGTGGGTTCCTACCTCCTTAAACCCTGGTAAACCCTCCACCCAGCCTAGACCCGAGCACACCATCCAACTCCCTTTAATTGCACTTTCAAATTAATTTTAACTTTAGAATCAAAATTTGACTCTAAAATCAAAATTAATTGAAGGGCTGGGAGTTGTGTTTGGATTGGGGCAAGATGGATGGATTTACCGAAAAGGTTATAAATGTAAGAGTCATTAATTTTATGAATAATGTACTGGAGCATCTTCAAATCATTTCGTGACGTTGATTCTCAAATGTCACGAGAACCAAAGGTAATTTTATACATAGCGGGTGCAATGAAAGGATTGATTTCCTTAACCGGCTAGATTTCTAGGTTGGGCTGGTGGGCTTACCGCCTTTTCAACAGCCTTTGAATGAATTGTATTATATGGGCCATTTACTTTGGGCATTAGGGGTACACTAAGTGTACCCCAAATGTACCTCACTCATTTTTTTACTACTCATTTTTATTTATTTAATTTTTGTTTATTTTATTTACTAATATATGTGGTATTGAATAAAGTGAAAAAGTATCGATAAAAAGTGGAGGTATAATTGCATTTCTTTAAAATTATGTTGCTAAAATAAATGATGAGAAAGATATTTTTGGACAATTTAAAAAGAAAAGTAATGATGAAATTAATGGACGTAGAGAGTATATATATAAAGAATATTCCATGACGGCAAGTGGATAATGAAATCGAGAAAAGTGCACCGTTTACCTACAAATTCTTTGAAAATTTCATGGTTTACCCCCGAACATTAAAAAGTGCACCAAATACCCCTGAATTCTTCAGAAATTGCACGGTTTACCCCTGAACAATAAAAAGTACACCAAATACCCCTGAACTTTTCGAAAATTGTACTGTTTACTCCTAAAAATTTAAATAAAATCGATAATTTTGGGTAAAGGTACTTTTGGAAATTTCACAAGGCCATATGAATCATATTCGCAATTCTTGTGCGTGGAAGCAACACACTTCCTATCTAATAGTTTAGGACCAACGATGCAACGGTTTAATTTGTTTAAGGGTATTTGGTACATTTTTTTAGTATACAGGGGTAAATCGTGCAATTTTCGAAGAGTTCGAGGATAATCGGTGCACTTTTCAAAGTTCAAAGGTAAAGTATGCAATTTCTAAAAAGTACGGGGGTAAACAATGCACTTTACTCTAATGAAATCATTATTGTACTTATATATACTCCGGTATATTTCTATTTCTTATTTTCAAATGATCAATGTTTCAATAATTTAAATCGACCGTAGTAGATAACTCAAATATTTTAAATAGTGGTGTCCAACGTTATTAAAGCTGAACGAGTCTAATTATCTTAAAGATTAACACTTCTAATTGATTAGTGGTGTCACACTTCTAATTTTTAAATAATGGTGTAACACTTCTAATTTTTAATTTATTTGAGTATTAGTGTAAATTTTTTTAAAAAGTGTCTTATATTTTAAAAATTTTAAAAAATGTTTTAATTTGTTTTATGCTTTTTTAATTTTTTAAAAAATGTTATAATATTAATTGAATGTTATTTTCAACAAAAACCTAAAACCCATGTAAATAAAGAGGAAAAACAAGGGAGCGAAATATCACATCGGATGATCGGACTCGCCACTTCCATCACTACACAAACGAAACACTGCTTCTCGGAAAAGCCCTAATTCTCATTCAACTCCGATTTCAATTCAATCGTTTGTTTCTCTACAGCGAGATCGAGCTCGGATTGATCGATAATCGGAAGAAGAAACGCTCAGAGACGATGGAAGAACCCGGGGTCGAGCGGGACGGCGGCGGCGGCGGCGGCCAGCAATTGATTCCGGAGGCGGCGACGGAGGCGCTGAGGAGAACCTCGAAGAACATCGACGACCTGAGCGCTAACATGGACCAGTTCCTGTCTCTCTGCGACGCGGATGCTCTCTCCCGATTGAACCCTCTCGACAGGGCCCACTGTCTGCTTTTGCTCTCTAAAGCCATCACCACTGCCTATGCATGTATGTATGGGAATGCAAACTGATATAGGCTTTGGAATTGAGTTTTTGTGTCATTCCTCATATTTTACTTGAGTTGTTTTTTTTAATTTTCTTTTTTCAGTGAGGTTGAGATGCAAAGGAGTGAATCCAGATGACCATCAAGTAAAGTCGGAGATTGTATGTTTTCTTATTTAATTCTTATCTTCTTATTCTATACGTGAATACCTGTTTTTTTCTGCATTATTCCAGCTGCATTTTTCAGGAGAGTTCCTAAATTTTTGAAGGTCGCGTGCAAAATTTAAAATTAAGCCTCTAAAGTTTGTAGTATATAGGTTATCCCTAAGTTTTCAAAAAGATTGTTTAGCACATCAGGCCACCACTATCAATTTTGGGTGTGAATATGTGTTTGTCGGGGTTCCATTTCGCTACTCAATTTCCTCACATTTTGTCAATGGTCTTTCTTTGATTAATACATTTATGAGTATGGTATGATAAGCATATAAAAAATATAAAATTGCTATCATGCTTTGTTTATATCTTAAAATTGTTGGGTGGTTGTTTATTAAGCTTTCTGCTGCTTTAAATGTTTTTTAGCAGCTGGAGATTTTAATTGTTGCTCCCTCCATCCATACAAGGGGTCATGTTTCAACAACTATAGCCAAATTTCAATCTTTCTTTATTGGTTTAACTGAATTTCACTCTCCTAATTTGTCTGATATGTTTTTTTATTTAAAAACATTAAATGTAATGAAAATTAGTTAATTTTGTTTAGGTTGGATTCTTCTTTTGCTCATAATTTTTTTTCTTCCAAACCGGGTTCTTTTTATTTATTTATTTGCATGGGGGGAATAAGTGTATATTTTTTAGGTACTTTTTGTTGGTGGTAGATGTAGCAGAGTTATTATCTTTTGTTGGTGGTAGATGTAGCGGAGTTATAATTACTTGGTAGTTTTATATGAGTTTTGTGCTTCTGGTGGAAACTTTTATGTTTTAACAGCATTTGGGCAATTACCATCTGATTGATTACATAATCCATGGGGTTTTAATGTTTGAATCTTTAAATCAATTTCTTTTTGCTCAATTTTTCTTCAATTATTTTATGACATCTGTTGTTTCGATGATCTTTCAATGTAGGAGAGGTTAAGCTTGTACCAAGTAAAAGTACAACGTTCTTTGGATTTAAGTAAAGGTACTAATGGAATGCTATCAATTATGCCGCAAAATCTACAATGTACAATATTGGTGTTTCAGAATGGGAAACGAAACATTTCCAGACTATTATTTATCAGATTGATGTCATGACAGTTCTACAAGATGCATTATTTAGGCTCTGTTTGGAAACCTATCTGCCTGATTTTAATCTGCTGAGTTTACTTGGCTGAATGGATAGTTAAAAAACGTCTTTCTTTACAGAAAAGTTGATGAATTCATCCGAACATCTTGTACCAAAGCAGCCTTTATTTTTCATAGTAGCACAATAAACAGAATATGCAGCTTCAGACTTATTTGGCTGAAATATACTTTACGAAATTAATTTCCTTTCCTTCTTAGGAAACCCAACAGCTTCCCTCACTTCAACCAAATAGCCCTTACTAAGCAAGCCTGACGTGCTCCCTAAATAGGAATGTACACATTACTACGAGGTTTCTCTAGCATTTGATGTATATTGGTGACTGATTTTCTTTTTCTTTTTTGTTAAAGCACCACTGCGCCCATCAGCCACAATAAATGCAAATGCAGCAGCTCGTTTTATTGAGCATTCTCTGCCTGACCTCACACCAGGTGAGTGATTGGCTTGCCTCTAGAAGGTATTAGATTTGTTTTTTGTTACCATTAATATTATTATATCAGGTCCATTTTGCAGAGCAGAGGCAGAGTATGAGAGACATCAGCAAAGGGGAGGGGGCGAGGATGAAATATTTGGAACGAAATATCCATAAGAAGAGAAAATGTCAATCGGGGGAAAAACAATCTGTTCGAGCTGCCGCTCAGGAATTTCTTGAGAAAGCCAGCCGTGAGCTTCTAGGTGACAATAAAAGTGGATTAAAGGGACCTTTGCATCCACCTCAGGATTCTGATGAAGATATAGCTATTGGATGATCCTCTGGTAGACTTCATTTTTGAATCTCTAACTTTTATTATATTAATTCACGACATTTAATTGTGGTCTTTTTTGCCCAGAGTCCCTACTCTAACATGAACAACCAATAGTTGATATTTTATCTTACTCACACAGTCACACTTATATACTTGACTTAAATCATAAGAGAACCGATGTGAGATACCCACCCCACCCCCAAGTAGGCTCCTCCAAACTACCTAGTGGGCGAGTTCCAAAAATCAACATTGGACTGGACTATGACACTGTTAATTTGGGCTTAGCTCACCTCAAAAAGTTCGTCAAAGGGTAGTGTTTTTCTCGTCCTTATATACTACGATACCACGTTAATTTAGGTTTAACTTCTTCCGTCCCATAAAAAATGTTCCACAATTTATGTTTGTCCCAAAAAAAGGCTCTTTTGTTTTGGGAAATGAAATAGTGTGGTTCACACAATTTTTCTCTCCCCTGCACAAAACAAAACCACATACTTTCACTTTTATTAATAATCGTGTCCAGTCAATTGTGAACCTTATTTAGGGATGGATGGAGTACTAGACTCAAACTTGTATATAACCGGTGTAGGATGCTCAACATATATTACCGACCGTTAAACCTGTCCCTAAAGTATGGTATGCTATGAGGTTCCCATGGTCTTTGTGGCATATTGTTGAAGTCCATAGGACACTATTTAGGTGTTAAAGATGTGAGGCAGACTACATTTCATCTTTAATTCTTGTGCTTGTCCTTAACCCACCATTGATTTATCCTTCTTGTTTGGGTTGGCCTAATGCACATCATTTCCGAAGAAATGGGTACACACCCATTTGTTTTTTTCCCCAATGGGCCTTAAGCCAAACCTATCTCGTTATCATCATAGTTTGTGTTTGCCCAAATGATACTGTACGGAAATGGTACAAACAGTTGGGCTCTTGTCATCCCACTAACACATGGTTGCTAATATACACGTTTGCAGGATAATCCCACTTTTATTGTTGTGTTTGCAAGCGGTGGCATTGAACTGGGGTATTGCCTCTCTCGGCTTCTCTTCTTTTTTTGAACACTCCATATAATTATTAGTACTCCGTATTATTTTTAGTTGTACTTTCCTCTCGATGAAGCTGATGACCGCCACCCCCACACCCAAAGTAGTAGCATAGCAGGCTTTGTTTTTGTGGTTTTCTTTAAATGGAATGTGTAAATGACAGAAACCTGCTACTGTGTACTGTAGTATTAACGTATTAGATGGGGAAGTGTTTTTCTAAGTTTGCAGTGTATTTTAAGACTTTTAAGCTCGAATACTCTCAAGTGTAAGTGAATTGTTTAATTCTTTCTTTGTACTATAGATTTTTCTTTCATTTGATCACTTTTATTCGTCTAGTTTGACTTTTAGCGGTCAAAGTGATTGGGCATGAATTATCAATCCGTATTTCTCATTGTACTTCAAAGAACAAAGTCAAAATTAATTTGGGGTGCAATTGAAGGCAGTGGAGAGTGTGTTTGGGTCGGGGTGGGGTGGGGGTTTACTGGAGGGGTTATGGAGAATAGGAACCATCAATTGTGCGAATGAGACACTGGAGCACCCTCGGGTGTTTCCATGACATTGGTCCCCAATGTCATGGAAATTGACCCTTAATTTTGCAGAGAATGTTTGAGCCTCAAAAGCCAATATATGAAAAATTATGAGTAGCCTTTCATGTTAGTTGTTTGACAAAATTGCATATTTCTTTTACAATAGTGTTTATCCTTGTATGTAATTTTTTTAAATAAAAAATATTCTATAAATATTTATTGCATAAATAATGTACCCCTCGGCCCATAGCCGAATGTTCATAGGATTGTTGATTGGTCTGACAAATCAACACAAGTCTTTTTTGCTCCTAAGAAACTTTTCTGACGGTCACCGATTCTAGAGTTGCTCAAAGTCAAACACGTTTAATTTTGAAGTTTTTTAAGTGATAAACTCTCGAAAAGAAAATATTTTGTAGGTGTGAATAGTATTATCGATCATTTTTTAGCTCTTTTCATTCCATGTTAACCCGAATAATCAACTCAGGGCCGGCCCCAAAAAATGAAAAAATAAAATTGGCCCGATTCAAAATTTATATTTTAAGCCATTTTTACTTTTTTAGAATATTAATGCTTTAAAAATAATGCCAAATTTAAAAATATGAGTCAAAATTTTAGGGGCGTGTGTAGTTGGCCATTTTAGATACCTTCTAGACCACCCATGAATCAACTAAGTCGAAATATTCAACTTTATTAGCGGTTCAAATGAACCAACACAAACACCTAACAAAGTACTCCCTCCGTACCAGAGTATTTGTCCGCTTTCATTTTTACACACCATCCAATACATTTCTTTAATCCATTTTATCTTGTAATTTGTATCTTAAAAAATTATAGAAATTATATAATTAAAAATCTACGGAGTATATGTTAAGACAAATCAAACAAGACTATATTTAGGCTTACACATTGATAGAATTTGATGAGTCAAAGTGCTTAGATGAACAGTTCCAAAAATCAAAAGTGGACAAAAACTGGGGGACGGACGGAGTAATAGGTACGGAGTAACATTTTTTATAAATGTTTAGGGTCCGTTTGGTATATGGAATTGACGGAATTGGAATTGAATTGGAATTGAAATTCCATGAGATTCAATTTCATAGAATTGAATTCTGCCAATTCCAATTCATTTTTTACACTATAAATTCCAAATCCACATAATTTTTGTGCTACCAAACACCAGAATTTGAATTGAAATCCTCAATTCCAATTTCATGGTTTGAATTCCATGTACCAAACGGGGCCTTAGTCAATTCCAAACAATTCCAAACAACCCCAAACAACTCTATGTAAACAAAATGCTTACTCCATATTTATTTGGCCATCCCACTCTCCCGTTTCTCCGTCCTCCGCCGAATGCACCACCACCCTTGCTCGCATCAGGTAAGCTGAGCGCCTCCGCAAAATGTCGGTTTGTCCGAGCGCCGTCTTGTCGGCGAAGTTCTCCAGCTTCAAGTCTGCAAATGATCTCAAAAGACCTAACTTTTGTCTCTCTTCCTCCAATTTCTGTGAGCTCTCTCCCAGCCCCTCACCTTCCTTTTATTGCTTGATTTCTTTCTTGTAATTAGCACTTCACTTCTGTAAATATGCTTTTGAATTAGGTTCAGTTCATGATTTTTCAATATGGGCAGTAAATATATTTCATATTTTCTTATATGATATGGTAAATGATCTTCCAATTTTTACCACCCAATCTTTGCTCCAAAGCCAAAGGGGGCTTTTTTTAAGCTCTTCATAGATTTGCCATTAGATAGAGGTAAGATTTACTTCACATTGTTTTTGTTACGGGGCTATCGATCCTTCAAACGTGTAATGTTACGGAGTACCAAATTAACTTAGTTTGGCTCATACAAACAACATTTTTTTTATGTATCCACTCTTATTTGCCCTACAACTTGTTGTTACATATTATTCCGTAACCATGCTCTAAATGTGTTTGGCATTCGGCGTTTCCTAGGTGCTAGACTAGACCTTAACCACACTTAGGAGAGGTCACATAGTTTTGAAAGGCGAGGCGAAAGGCGGTAGGCCAAAAGGCGAACTTAAGGCATACACACACACACATAAAATATATAGTGTAGTGCAATTAATAATGTCAATCCAAGCAAGTCATACACGTTTAACAAAACAATTATAGTTACTACATGTGTTTCTAAAAAAACGAGTACTTAATATATATAAATGTGTTAAATATAATAAAGCCATGACTAGCACAAAGCCTAATCGTAATCATCATCACTCAAAGCGAAATCCAGATTTTCCATTATATTTGATGGAATAAGAGGTTCAAAATTAGTCTCATACTCATCTTCGTGCTCCTCATCCTCGTTCACTAGGTGGAGGGTGCGCTTCGCCTGCATTGTTGGTTTTGCAGAGGTACTGGGATTGCCTTTTTGAGGCCTCCGAGTGTAGTAAACCGGTTCATCAGCCCCAGAAGCTCTAGCAACATCGCGCTCTAATGGTAGTGTAGCACTTAGGTGGAGCTAGACTGAGATGTTCACAAGGATGCTCTCAAGACCATGCACACCTTAAGTGTGAGGGCCTTATAAAGGGGTTGTTCCTCGTTGCTTCTACGAATTGTTTGTTGGAATAGCTAATTAGTTTTTTAGACTTTCTCTTTTTCTTTCTTTGTGTGGTGTGGCTTCTATGCCTATATATAGCTTTGTTTCCTTTTGTAAACAAGACTTGGACTCAATCAATTAGATGATTGTATAGAGAAGAAGCGAAATCGGTTTGGCTTTGATACCATGTTGATTTCTACGCAAAACAGAAAAGAAATAGAGAGAGGAATGGGGAAATGTGCAATCATCTCATTGATTGAGTCAAAATCTTGTTTACAGAAGAGGGAAATAAAGCTATATATAGACATAGAGGCCACGTCACACAAAGAAAGAAAAAGAGAAAGTTTAAAAAAAACTAAGCTATTCCAACATTGTTGGGTCTAAAAAAACCACTGCAAGCCGTTGTTTCCAATGAGCTCCGATTTCGAGCTTCTGCTAAACACTGTTTGAAGAAGTAAATTGTGATGAACATAAGGGGAATAGTTATTTTCTGCATCTAGATATCCATTTCTTGATCGCAGAAGCCAAAAGCTAGAGTGTAAAACAATAACAAACTTCCATTGACCGGTTTCCTAAGTAACTCAATTCAGGAAATTACCACCTGCATTTAAAAATGTGTAGTTAATCACATATTCATTATATCGTTGCTGGACTTTTTTTATAAAACAAATTTATAACCTTTCTAGTTTTAAAGAAATAGCATTAACAAAAAATTTTGAAAATGAAATTAGGCATTGACAAGATAGATGATAACTTCAAGCGCAAACACTGATATTTGGCTAACCATTAAATCTGTCCCAAAAAAGGTTTTTTATTTCCTTTTTAGCGTGTCCCAAAATAAGGTTCATCTTTCATTTAAAAAAGAATTGTGTAGCTCATTTTTTTTCGGGAAAGAGGCAAATATCATTAACTCATTGCCACTAGGGAAAATCACCAAGTGGGAAACAAAGACCATCCCACATACCAACTACAATACCAAACCACACAACTTACAACAACAAACAATACACAAGGATAGACCAAATGACAGATCACAACAGCCACGGAACATATACCTACACACAGGTAGGTAACCATCCCAAAAATCAGAGAGCACTCATATCAACAATACTTTTAACTCAAACCAGCTTTAGTTGGGTTTTAATTTGCTAAATCATAGTCTCCAATTTCAGCTGCCCCTTCTATATCCTCTGCATAAATCTAACCACAGTACCACACCTATATGTTGAGGACCTAGACCTACCAATGAGGACCCTATGCAGATTCCACTCTTATATGTTGAGGAGTGATGACCTACCAATGACAGTTTAGTACTTCGATTCCAACTTTGTGTTATGTTTGGTGGACAAGAGAGAAAGAAAGGTGTGAGAAAAAAAGATAAGGGTGGGTTTATGGCTTGTTCTCTTCAACTTATCTGAAATGTTCCGGTCTGATAACTCTGATTTGATTAAGTTCTGATCTGATGTGGTTGTAGTTATATTTAAAGCTCTTTCTGATCTGATTTAATCTGATCTGGTTCCAATAAGAATAAGTAATAAGTAAAAAGAATAAGTTAAAGAGAACAAGCTCATATTATATTGTTGGTAAAAGAGAATAAAGACAGAAAATGAAAAAATAAAAAGAATTTTTTCTTCCCTGCCCTCCAAACATGACAAATGTGTCCTTTCTCTCCTCGCTTACTTCTCTGTTTCCATGGCAACAACCAAAGCCTTTAAGGACAACCTTGTTTGAAGTCCAAAATATGGAGAACAAGTCGTTAGTCTTTTCTTTGAATAAATTGTAAAGCCTTTAGGAAATTAGGTTATATCTTATATTCCTTTAAGGTGCTTTATGTCCTTTCTTTTCGTGAGCTCAATCTAAGTCATTTTGCTTCAGTTAAATATTGTTGTATTGTTGTCTCTTTTATTTAATTCTGACTCTGAAGCACTTGGATGCCATTATTATTGTCACTTAGGTACATTAGGTCGGAAGATAGAACCTGTTTCCACCCCAATCTTGTCATTCTCAGATGGTCAGAGTAAGCAGACTAGGAGATCGTTGCGAGTACGTGGATTATTTGGCGGTAAAAAGGGCAATAATGACAATGCCGACAAGATTGACAATGCTTCAAAGGTTGGTTTTTTTCTCTTTTCAAATCAAAATGAGTTACACTGCACATGATAGCTTTGACTTTTGTGTGTGTAAGTCTCAGCCATCATAGAGAGATGAAAATCATAGATTCCATTGGAAGAAAACTGTTCAAACAATGACAAGAAGAACCTCATAGATGAGGAACAAAAAACATCTTTAAGCCTCTAAGAAAGTTGAGTTTTATTGTTGTAAGACTCTTATAATTTTCCAGGCTGGAATATTGGGAAACATGCAAAATCTCTATGAGACAGTAAAAAAGGCACAGATGGTTGTCCAAGTTGAGGCGGTGCGCGTCCAGAAAGAACTTGCAGCGTGGGTTTTGCCTTTACTTTCTTCCTACTTTCCTATTTTGTCACTCATCTCCTTTTAAGGAAATCAATATGTGGTTCACACTATTTCTCCCTTCCAAATATTCCGTAAATCGTAACCACAATTTACTTTTTTAAGTTTCGTTTCCGGCCAAAGCAGTTAATACATTAAGGACAGAGGGAGTAATGTGTAAGGTGCTTATCACAAGTTCACAATTCTTAAATGTTTGTGTCTGCTCCTTGCAGAGCAGAGTTTGATGGTTATTGCGAAGGGGAGCTCATTAAGGTATATTAGCATTCTTAACTCCAATTCTTATTTACTTTTTCAAGACTTATATCACAAAGAGTGACCTATTTCAACCTTAGAAGCTAATTCCAATCCAACTCAATGTAATTTTTCAAAAAAAAAAAAAAAGAAGTTCCAAACAAGTTGATTATGTTTAAATACTCCGTAAAGTGTAAAAAGCATAAAAAAAATAAATAAAATTTTAATTAGGATTTATTTTTAACTATATTTTAGTGTGTTTTCAAAAAGTATTTGTTTAGTAAATACTCCGTATAAGTTTATATATTTGTTTGGAACACAAAAGTGTAAGTAGGATTTATCATAGCTTGGGTTGTTTTGAAAAATGTAGGATTTTTAGAGTTTAACCAATTCATCTCTTGAGAACGATTCTCGCTCTCAAATTGTTTGGATTTTTTAAATAAAAAAGATACGATGAAAGTTAGATTGGTTAGAAACTGGCCATTTTTGGGACACAGTTATGGTCAAGTTTAACCCCCCAAAAAAGAATGATTTCTGTGTTGTTGTTTGTTTCAGGCAACTCTGACGGGTAACCAGCAGCCCTTGCGGATTGAGATAACTGAAGCCGCAATGGGATTGGGAGCACAAGTAATAAAATTTCATATCTCTTTCCCAACACACATCTAACCCGACACGCTTTTGCTGTTTTCTTTAGTAGGCTGAATATGATGATGATGATGAACAACTCGCGTGCATTCCCATTGGGGAAAAAACGTAACGGAAAAATCTCTCTTCTTTTTTGGTCGCAGAAACTCTCTCTTTTGGTTACTGAGGCATACATGGATGCTCACCAAAAAAGTGTACAGGTGAGACTAACCAAAGTCCTATTCATCTTTGGGATGCTTTACTACCACACCAACTCGATAAAATCCCACATAAAGTAGGTTCTATGGAGGGTGTGTGAGAAGTAGAGATGTTGTTTCGAAGAGAACCAATCTTTGGGATGCGTTTGGGCAATTTTTTTTTTAAAGCTGTTTGGGCATTAATCAATTGATTTTTTTTTTTTGCAAACCAAACAAGGGCTAATGCATATTTTATTTATTATATGAATGGCAGGGAATGAAGGAGAGAATGAGCAATCTTGCTCAAAGCTTAGGAATGCCAGAAGGCCTAAGTGAGGGCTTGAAGTAGTAGTGATATATATTTGAAGTTCTTTTTTTTTTTCATTGATTTTTTTATTATTAATTGTTGACCAATATAATAAAATAATACCATGTTCTAGAGAATATAAAAAACAAAAAAATAAGCAAAAACCATTTCAAAATAACATTTCGTTTCAGTTTTGATATTTCAACTCCAAAATTTGAGTTTTTGAATTTCAAAATAACAAGACGTTATATGAATTTACAATTGAGCTTTGAAATAATTAGAGAAATCTGTTTCAAATCCAAATTTAGTTTTTTATATCTCCCAATCATAAAATTTGAGTCGAATTGAAAATTGAAATCGAAATTTCTGTTTTTTTCCAAACTTGCCATAGATAAAAATTTAAATGCAAAACTGAATGAAATGGGTGGAGTGACACATTAAACGAATGAAGAAATAAATGAATGAATTATTACACCAGGCTAATCAATCAGATGCATTGAGATAATCTATCCCAAATCCAAAAAAAAAAAAGAAAAAGAAATAAACCCCAAATAAAAGTTAAAATAAAAATAGACCCCAAATACTTTTATTAAACCAGAAAGATCCCCAAAAGAAAACCCCCTCCAAGTCCCATAGTAACCAAGCTCCTCTTCCCCTTCAACCCCGCCGCCGCTCCGGTGGTGGGCGCCACCGCCGGACCACCATTCTGAGTCTCAGCAGCAGGGGAAGCAGCAGGAGCAGCCGGAGAGAGTGCAGGCGCCGCTGCCGGCTTCCGCCAGTGCTTCTCCGACACAACCACCACCGCCACTTTTTGCCCCTTCTTGCAATTCTCCTCCGTCGCACTGATGAAGTAGTGTGGGCCTGACTGGCCCAGCACAGCCTTGGCGTTCGGCCCGCTAATGGATCTTATGGGCTTCGAGCTATTGCAGCTCTTGTAGCCCGCTTCGTCCACTTCCAGCACTTTGTCCGCTTCCCCATCAAATTCCCACACTGCAAATTACCATTAATTAATTAATTAATTAATTAGATCTAAGTTGAAGTTTTGAATTTATTTTAGTTCCCTAAATTTCATACATTTTGACCACCGTATTTATCTTTAAATTTTAAAATTGATCAAATTTATATACCCCTCCATCTCACATTATCAACTTATATATCCATTGAATTTTTAATAAAACTATTTTTGTTAAAAGACAATTTTACCCTTTCACCTCTTCTTTTTTTAAAACAGTCAAGATAAAAACCTTTGGTGATATAAATTGGTTTCATATAACAAATGAAGAGTGAATTTAATAATAACCTCAGCCAAACAATTGTGCATTTCATCACCATTTTTTTTGAATAAACGAAACCAAAAATGTTTTCGGGAAAACTTCCAAAAACCAAATCAAAAATATTATTTTAGATCGAAATGTGAACTATTAATATTTAAAAAAGATAAACATAATTACAGAGAGAAGTGCTCCGTATTACCTAGAGTGTCATTGACGGCAAAGCGAGAGGTTTCAGTCCAGTTTTTCAGACAACCGGTGGACGAAAACGACAATTTCCAGCTGCATTTCTTGCCTCCGACGGTAAGCATTCCAGCTTCCGAGTAGCTGAAGAAGACAAAGAAGAGAAGAAGAAGAGTGACTAAAGAAACCACATTTCTTGAAACCAGAGCCATTGTTTTGTTTTCAGATAGATTGAATTCTTGGGCTTGATGAATATAAAAATAGAAGAAAGATTTGATCTGTAGAAAGAAAGATAAGATTCAGATGGAGATGGGAATGGGATGAGATGATGATCTTGAAGTGAACCAGTGGGGGGTATATATATAGGGGGGAAGAGGAAGGTGAAACTAGCCGTTGGATTCTTTTTTTTTAAGCTGAAAAAAAAGGGTTTAAATTTTATGATTGTGGATGGGATATTATCTGGGTGTAACGGGCATTTTGTTTGACCATTCAACGGTCAAGTGATGAGGCGTACGTTAGTATGCTGCTGCAAAGCGTTACGTTTACTATAGATCCATTTTGCCATCCATTCTAAGTTTTTAACTTATTTTATTTAAATATTACTCCATCCGTCCTAAAATTAATTTCTCATTTGACTTTTCACGGTCTTCAATGCGACACTTTGACTATCAATATCTCAATTTTTATATAAATATATTTCATAAAAATTATATATTTCAAAACTATATTTCAAAATGAATCTATTGCTAATAAATTTATACGAAAATTCAATGTATTTTTTTCATAATATATGTTCAAAGTTTAAAAAGTTTGACTACAAAAGTCAAACTGGAAAATTAATTTTAAGACGGAGAGAGTAGTATAAAAATTAAATAAAATTTATTTATATTAAAATTCACGTTAAAGTATTTTACAAGGTCAGAAGTGACACAAATTTTTTATTTAACTAAATAATAAATCAAAATGTACAAATAGACAAAAATTTTTGTGACTTTTGAATATTGAAAGGGTGTAATTCTTTTTATAAGAGAAGGAGTAAGTTATTACCTCCCTTAAATCACTTACGGTGTCACTTTCGTAAAATTAATGATTCTTATCGGAACTGACCCTTCTCCCATCTCTTCTAACTCTCTATACCCGTCCGATCCGACCGAAATTGATTATTCTAAAATCAACTAAATTTTAGAATTGCAAATAAAGCGTTGCCGTCAGTTCGGGTCGACTTGAGAAGATATGCATGAACCATCAGTTTTACAAACAGGACCCCATACAGAGTATTAATATATTTATCTCCTTCAAAAAGCTATACTTACCATTATTAAAAAATCACAAAAATTTTTGTTTATTTATGTGTCCTCATTGAAATATTCTTCTTTTAAATTCAACTTTACTAATCCGTACGTACATTTAAAATTACAGCAGTGGGCTGTGGCTCACCATCAAAGCAGGTGTCACTCAAACTGCTACACTTTGTTTAATTATGCCACGTGTTAAGCCATGCAATTCACTTCATCTCTTCATGCACACCCCTACACGTGTGAGTCGTGTATGTGACACATGCATTAATCTACGACTTTCTCTCAGTGACCGTCTGACCGGATCTGAAGAGATCTTCACAGATGGGACTCATACTTTTTCAAATAATTTTTTGAACAAAACATGTCAATGGAGATAAATTCGAGTTTGTTTATAATTATTTTAAACATAGAATATCTGCTGGTACCAGATGCTAGCTGACTTTATTCTTTTTTGAAATAATTATTCATTTTTTGCATTTTAAAATACTTTTTTTAAATCCCGTAAAATCAAGGCGTAAAACTTATATTGAAACAGGATATATTTCAATAAGATTTCTCTTACAATGATCTAACCTGGTTTTCCCAAACTTTTCAATCACTAACCTAAATAAAAAAAGCCCCAATTTGATTGTATTCACTCAATTTAAATTAAATAGACACCTTTTATCTTTAAATATTCAAAAGAAGTGAAAGAAAAAAGTATCTAGATAACTCCGGCCTGAAAAATTATCTTTAGATCTACTTCTTATAGAAATAATGGAATGAATTCAATCAAATGAGTTGTGGATTAAACAACACCTAAAAATTAAAACAAATACTACGAAGTAGAATTACGAGTGGAGAGAAAATCTGATTGGATCTCCTCCATCACATATTACCCTTATATTCTGACTAATGCATGCATTAATAATTAATAATATAATGTTTCGGTTGGCCGTGCAAAAATTATTTGATACTGTATATTATAATTTCTTCTTTAGTATGAAAAAACGAAGGTCGATATTATTCTGATACATTTCGTACAAAAAATTATTACGGGTATTTTTTAGTTGTTGTCCTAAATATTCGGGTTAAATATGGTTGCGGTTCTAGAATATATTTTTTATTAAATTATCATTGTAAGATATTCATTTTGCAAATAGTTCTTTCACTATTTATTTTAATTAATGTTGAATTGTCCCTGAGAAATAAATACTTCCTCTGTTCCGGAATATTCGTCCAGTTTTGACTTTTGGAATTGTTCATCTAAGCACTTTGACTTTTCAAATTCTCTCAATGTGTAAGCCTAAATATAGTCATGTATAATCTTGTTTGATTTGTCTTAACATATAGATTATTAATATATAATTTCTATAATTTTTTAATATACAAATTACTCCGTACAAGATAAAATAGATTAAAGAAGTGTATTGAATGGTGTGTAAAAATGAAAGTGGGCAAATACTCCGGGACGGAGGTAGTAATTTTTTTTGGTGCCTCTAAAATGTTTTAAATTCAAAGTGGGTTTTTTCTTTTAAATCCTAAGAAATTAACTCTAAATTGGTGGGAATATATTTTGTAAAAACAAACACTCCGTATATTTAACTCTAAAAATCACTCATCACAAAAGGACCAAAAGTATATTTAACGTTAAATAATTTTTTTGAAAATTAAAGTAACAAATAATTTCAATCCTTCATAGCCTGAAGCAGAGAAGGACACGTGTCGGGAAATGTACACGTGTACATAATTTAACGCCAGCTGGAAGCCCATCCATAAAACCTACCCCTTCTTAAAAGGCAACGAACCCTAATATTATTCTCATCACTAATTTTGAGAAACGTAATAAAATGGCCGACACACACAAGACGAATCCGCCGGAGGAGGTGAAGAGGAGCGGGGTAGAAGGGTCGTCGTCGAAGCGGCAAAACAGCGGTGGCGGCGGCGGCGGCGGTGGCGTTCTCCACCAAAGACGGCAGCTCCCATACAGCCTCCCCACCATCGCCCTCGCGGGCATCGCCATATCCGGCGCCCTTTGGTACTTCACTTTGTATGTCAAGAAAAAGCCGGAGGCTAACGCGGTGGACGTTGCAAAAGTTGCCGCCGGTGGCGGCGGCGTGGAAAGCACACACCCTAGAAAGTAGCTATGTAAATTTTGACACTACGTATAATAATTGTCTTTGAGTTTGTATCAAACTTTAGTGTCAAAAAGTTTCCAAAATGTTACTCCGTATTAGAATATTAGTCTAATTTTAATTTTTTCGATTTGAATATCATATTATGGGTAGTAGTCCGAAAACCGAAAGAGCCTTAGTGAAATTGGACAAATTATGTGCAACTCGTCCTCTCGTTTCTGTGTACTAAATAATGTTCAAATTTACATTGTCACAAATGAGATTAGATGTAAGATTATTCATCAACATCACTTTAATTTGAAAAAAAATTACTCCGTATATGGTATGTGATTTAAAATGAGTTTTTTGTATCAATAACACATGCTCGTTTAGTACAAGCGTGCATTCATCTACACTCCTCATATATCACACATAAGTTTTGTAATATATATGTTTTCCTAAATATTACTCCGTAATTTTTATATTTTAAACATCTTGAGAGGCATGAGAACTAGCCCATATGATTATTCTCGTTTCAGCTGTCAGTAAGCTGTCAGTAATTAACTGAATTCGAAATTCGAACATCAATTATTTTCATCAAGCTCAAATATGTATATTGATGAGCGCGTGATTAATGCGCTCTTGAATCTGATGCAGAGGAAACATTGATAGATGCAATGTTTTTCTAAATTCAAGAGCTGTGTATTTTTTAAAGAATTTGGAGAAAAAGAGAGAAAAACTCGATCAATTCAAAATTCAAATTAAATGAAAGTATTTGGAAAGGTCTAAAATGATGGTTGAATGAGATATTAAATCTTTAGATATTTTTCAAAGATATATATAAAGGTAGATATCTAAGGGCTGGTGGGGGAGTTTTAGAGTTATGACATTATATGAATTTTCTAAATTGAAAAGAAATGATATGTGATTTGAAATTTGAAATAAAATTGTTCAAAAATATTTAAAATCATGATTTAATTAGTGATAACAGAGTAGTTGGAAATGAGATGGTTGGCGATGGTAGCCGGTGACAGAGGATAATCATCGAGATTTAGTGAAAATATCAAAGTCTGATATCTTTCAAATTCGACGATATAAAACTCTTTATTTGGAAGGTTTATGATATTTGAAGATGTCAAATCTAAATCTATTTAAATTTTATCAAACACTAAAAAAATATCAGAATTGATATCTTTTTACCCATTACTCCTCAATGCAACAACAGTCCCGTTTGACATTAGCATTAGGGATTAGGGTTAGCAATTTGAAAATATTACTCCCTCCGTCCCTAAATAGATTAGAATCTTTTTTTCTCTCTCCTCTCGATAACTTTTGTTTGTTTACGCGATTTCATCAAATATTTGATAAAATAAAATATTCTTGTCACCTCTTATTTTGTAGAACTTTTGATGTAGTTTTTTAATATGTAATTTTTATAGCTTATTGATATACCAATTTGTAAATAAAATGATTTCAAAAAGTAGAAAATTTTACTCCGTAACCCGCAATTTGTAATCAAATTGGGGACGGAGAGAGTATCTGACAACAACCTTTAGCGTTAGTTTTTTCTATATTAATCTACACCACTAATATTTTATCCGAATCACTAATGTTAATTGAAAAAGTTCTTCCAAACAAGACCAACTTCTTCAACTATCAATTTCGAATCATAGGCAAGTCGCAAAATTTGGGCTAGCCGGAATTATGATAGCAGATATCCAAATTATCCTGTAGCCCATCTTCTGAGAAAGCGAGGAATACGAAGGCCCATATACTCTGGCTTTTCCCGGTCGAACGCTTTCGCCGGGAAACACTTTTGAGTTTTAACGGCACGCATCGGGGTGAAGCGGAGGAAACTGCCGGCCGGCGGAGCTCACAGCAGCCTGCCTAGTGAAGGCGACCAGTTTAATTTCTCGACCTTTCATCTCTTCAGCTCGTCTGTCAAAGAGGATTGAACAAAACCCTAGAAGACCTGTCCTGCTCTCCGGTTCCATCCCTTTGTTCTTCGGCAAGCGCAAGGGTAGAAGAGAGGGAAGGATATAATGCCTAGGGAGATCATCACGCTGCAAGTGGGACAATGCGGGAACCAGATCGGAATGGAGTTCTGGAAGCAGCTCTGCCTCGAGCACGGAATCAGTAAGGAAGGCATTCTCGAAGACTTCGCCACTCAGGTTCTTATATCTCATTTCACTTTGCCTACTTGCATCCCAAAACCTGTGAGATTTGTGAATCGATACATGAATGCGTGCTTTGTGAATTGCGGAATTTGCCGTGGCGCAGGGAGGCGATAGAAAAGACGTTTTTTTCTATCAAGCTGATGATCAACACTACATTCCAAGAGCTTTGCTGATGGATTTGGAGCCCAGGGTGATTAATGGTATACAAAATGGTGAGTACAGGAACCTTTACAATCATGAGAATGTGTTCATTGCCGATCATGGTGGAGGCGCTGGCAATAACTGGGCAAGTGGATATCAACAGGTTCGTCTTTTTTGCTTCTCTTCAGAATAGATTAGATATCCTTTTTGGGTGTACTGGTTGTATAAACGAAATGATGGCATGCCGTGTCATTCAATGAAGACATGAACGTGCGTGGGAGCAATAGGTAGGAAAATCTTTTGCAAAAAGCTATTAAACACATCCAAAATAATGGGGATTTGGGTAGTAAGTGGAAAGAAAGAATCATATACCCTGACACTTGTATTCTTTTTGCTATGGAAAATGAAATAAATGTAATGATCAATGCCTACCTGCATATTTATTGTGGTATAAAACAGGCCTCCAAGTTTTCTTTTCTTGTAAGAGTAACAATGTGTGTAGTGACACTCGAGTGTGTTTAATGTTTCGTAACCATTCTAGTGAAATGCATGATTTTTTTCCAAGAGTTGTATTTTCTTCTACTATAATAGTTTTACAAGAACTTATTGCATTTTTTTGTTGTAGTGTTTGCTCCCTCCAAAAGATCTTCTTTTCTTGATAGAAAAATACCGGCTTGTATCCCATTGACAAATTTTGTTTGATTGTTTGTTTAGGGAAGTCAATATGAGGAAGACTTAATGGATATGATTGATAGGGAAGCTGATGGAAGTGATAGTCTTGAGGGTTTTGTTCTCTGTCACTCAATTGCTGGTGGAACTGGCTCAGGTTTGTCTCTTTTGTCAATTTTTACCAACACGTGATTCTTGTTTCTAGTTATAAAATACTAAGAGAAATAAATAAGTTCTGAATTAGTTGGTAACCTATTTTTTCTTATTGTAGTTTCACAAATTACAAATCCATTGAGCGTGGTTTTATTTTCATCATTATCCGTTATGCTTTCTTATAGGTATGGGCTCATACCTGTTGGAGACTCTTAATGATCGCTATAGCAAAAAACTTGTTCAAACATACAGTGTATTCCCAAACCAGAATGAGACAAGTGACGTGGTTGTTCAGCCATACAACTCCCTTCTCACACTCAAGAGGCTTACACTAAATGCCGATTGTGTTGTAGTTCTTGATAATACTGCACTCAATAGAATAGCTGTGGAGCGCCTTCATATATCGACTCCTACGTTTGCTCAAACAAATTCTTTAGTCTCTACTGTGATGTCAGCAAGCACCACAACTCTGCGATATCCAGGATATATGAATAATGATTTGGTTGGCCTTCTTGCTTCTCTAATACCAACACCAAGGTGCCACTTTCTGATGACTGGATATACTCCGCTCACAGTGGAGCGTCAAGTAAGATTTATAATCAAAATCTATCTGTGCATGCCCGCCCGGTAGAATCATTAGCAGCAATCTTTTATGCATGATGTCTTTCCTTTCGTAACCTTCAAAAGAAGGATTGCGAAAAAAGCTCCCTATAGAGTTTATTTGGAAAATATGAGTTTCTGATTGCAGTGTGGGTTTAAGAAAAGAGGTTAGAACCTTTAAATTAAGAAAAGGCATGCATTTCCATGTATTAATACCAAAGATAAGCTTGCAGATCTAAGTAAATCGCACTAATAGTCTACATTCTTCTATTTTTTTATATTTATTGGCATTGTGTGATGTGTTATCACTTGATTATAAATAAATAAAAATTCCAAAAACTGTGGGAGAAATTTCTCAAGTTCATATGAATTGAAAGACAAATGTTTTGGGAGAGACGCAACATCTTTTCTGTATGCCTGCAAGTAAAGACTTCATTTGCACATGATGAATTGGACCTTGCTATAATTTTTGGGAAGGCAACTGTTATCTACTTTTATCTGACGTACACTTCTTCTCTTTTGGCACTAAAGCCTCTGCACTTCATGGATTCTGATGTATGTAATTCGTATCACAGTATCAATAAATTCGTGTTATACTATTGTCATAGTGTGATTATTGACATTTATGCAACTATTTTCATATTGTGTGAATATTGAACTTTATGCAACAGCTGGATGTAAAGTAAATAAAGTATAACTAAAAGAACTACGGTCAATGGCATTCTAAATGGGCATACTCTTTTTTACAGGCTAATGTAATTCGAAAGACAACTGTTCTTGATGTGATGAGAAGGCTTCTTCAGGTACAGCAGAAACCTCATCAGTTTTTCTGCAAATAATGAACTTCAAATATAAGAAAACATTTGTCTTGCAGACAAAGAACATCATGGTTTCCTCTAATGCTCGAACAAAGGAAGCAAGCCAAGCTAAGTATATATCAATTCTAAACATCATTCAAGGTGAAGTAGATCCGACACAGGTATTTTTAATTTTTATGCTATGCATATCTGTCATTTGTGCTACAGCTAGCCAGTTACAAGTGTACTTGAAGTTATGTAGTAAGTAGTTACTGTTAGGTTGCATGATCATAAATCATCTCTTAAAAGTGGTAATTATATAAGGCTGTTCAAAGTTCTATGGACAATAATAGTACATTAATGAACCAATTCTTTGCACATTGACCCTTAAATTTTAGCCTCAACCCTTGAAATGATCTCTTTAATCAGAAACTTTGGTACTTCTCTCTTTCCAGCTCTTGGATGGTCTCGGGACATCTAAGATATACTATGACCTTTAAAGAAATGATTTCTTTAGCTTTGTCAGTCCTTTTTTCATATATCTTAATTATAAGTACTTCTTTGAGCCTCTCTCATGCATATTAATGAAATGGGATATTTGTTGAGGTTTTGGTTCCTGGGAGAATGCAAAATGATTCCATTTGAGATTCATCACAAACCTTACTGTCCAAAACCAGGTCCATGAAAGCCTGCAGAGAATTCGTGAAAGGAAGCTTGTCAATTTTATTGAGTGGGGCCCTGCAAGCATCCAGGTACGCCTTTTTTTAGCACATAAGATTTTGTTGTTTGTTTTATTCACATTGAACTGAAACTTATCAAATTACTCATCTTTGTTGGTAGGTTGCTTTATCAAGAAAGTCACCCTATGTCCAAACTGCCCACAGAGTAAGATTTCGTTCTCCAAATATTTAAACCTTACCAAGTCACAAACCTATCATGTTGTTTTAGGCAATTAGTACATCCCCCCCCCCTCCTGCCCCGCAATGAGCGGAAGCCTTTTAAGCACTAGGGTAATGTTTTTGTTGTTGTTTGAGACAATTAATATTATTAGCCAATTAGCACATCATTTTGCAAAATTCGTATGCCTTCCATGTTTGCTTCTATGACCTTTTGGAGTACTTGAAAGCTCAAGGATTGGTAAATGTGTTCAATACTTCAATGTTCATTTTTCAGAAGGTGAAGTTTGATAATGCATTCCTTCTTAAATCTGTTAGGTCAGTGGGCTTATGCTTGCAAGCCACACAGGCATCCGTCACTTATTTACCAAGTGCTTGAGCCAATATGAGAAGTTGAGAAAGAGACAAGCCTTTCTTGACAACTATAGGAATCATCCCATGTTTGCTGTAAGTTAATTGCTTGCCAAATTCTTTTTTCCTTGACATAAAATCACGTGGCTTTATTACCACAAGTCTTCTGTGTGCTTAGTGATGCAAAGGCTTCTGTTAGCTGCTATTGTTTTATTAATGAAATTTCTATTAGTGATTGGCTCAAATTTTCATCTTTCCCAGTGAACCATACACTCAACACGTGTATTAGCCTTTTCCCTTCGTAATTATGAGTTGCTGTCTGTGCAAAAAGTTCATTTTTATTCATCCATTCCTAAATACCTGTAGTTTTAGGTTTCTATACACATTATGGTAGCGAAAATTCCCCTAACATCCGAGATATACTCACTAGTGAAAATGAAGTTCCTCTCATTAATGCAACAACAGACAAATTATTATAGAACATCAGAGATAGATGGTGCATCATGAAAAACGAGCAACCAATGCTCTTTTGGTATTCAAATATGATATTTGTATTAAAATATAAAAAATTTCCTTAAGGGCTTGGAAGATACCCCGTATTTTTTATACACCATATATAGAACGTTTTAAACACGTATGAAGGCGATTCAAATGTTATTCAATCACATGTTAAGCCGTTTTTTTCAATTTTGTAGAACCTCGAATGCATGTACTTAAGATTTTGAAAACCTTCACCTCCAAATCCTTCCCCAACCCCCCTGAACCACACCAAACCATTATTTGAGAACAAGGAGGAGCACCTTCTAAAGTGCTTGCCGTAGTCGTCAAAGTGGGGTCTGTAATGGTTGCTGAGGAACATCAGTGCATTCACAAGACTAATTTCGTTGCAGGACAATGATCTGTCAGAATTTGATGAGTCTAGAGATGTGCTCGAGAGTCTCATCGATGAATACAAGGCTTGTGAGTCCCCAGATTACATCAAATGGGGAATTGAGGTATGCACACAACCTTCCTTCTTCTTCTTCTTCTTAAATCTATTATCACAAGTGGATGCGGCGAATTACCAAATTACCATTTGTCTCCAGGATCCAGATCAAATTTTAACAGGGGAAGGGAATGCCAGTGGTGCCGTTGATCCGAGGTTAGCCGTGTGAACAGAATAATGCCCCTCTTTTTTTGCAAGTTGACAAAGAAAAAACTGTTGATTGCTACTTGTAATTAATTGTTCTTGCTTCATTTCTGGTTCTACACAATCCACTCTGTTTCTTTTCCACATTCTAACCTTTATGGCTTTCTAAAAAGCAGCCCCCCCCACCCCCACCCGAGCTTGCTTTAAGCGTATTGTAAAACTCTTGTTGTGGTGTCTTCTAATGGATTCCTGTAAGTTTTTCTATTGCCAAAGCAATTTGACAGCGATTTCATTCTGAGGGAGGCTAATTTGACACTCATTTATATAGTTATATGCCACTCTGTTACATCAGTTCAATTGGGCAATTACTGTTTTGGCCTCCTTACTCCTCCCACCCCTCCTCCTCTCTCTTGATCGCCATTTGACAAATCTAAATATGCCAAATAGTGATTAAGGGAAGGGAAGGGGCTGAGGTGAATTGAGCATGATATGAACAACCAATTTTACGATTAGAGCATCGTATGTGCCCTAATTGAACTAGTGTCGTCGTTTGACACCAATTGGAGTGATGTCAGACCGTCAAAGTAGACTTCCTATTTTATTACATACCAGTACTTTTTTCCATAAATGGTTAAGAGGAAGGTAACATCTACCATTGTTATAGGTACTCCCGTCCCAAAAACTTTTATCTGCTTTCCCTTTTTAAACGTCTCAAAAAAATATTTGTGTCATCTTTATTTTCATTTTTTAGTTATGAACGTGTAGCTTGCAACATTTTTCTCGGCGTAAAAAATTTCGGCATGAAGGGAATATAAGTTACGGAGTAATCTCTTCGTCCAAAAATATCCATTAGATTTTAAGGAAAAATTTGTGTGGTTAATATAATTTTACTTATTTCTAATAAAAAAAATATTAGGTGCAACTGTGGTAATAAAAATGGCTACTTTATGTCTTTCTTCACTCTCTTGCTACTATGGGAAATCTTTTCTGGTTCTATTTCCACTAAATCGTGATCTAACCTACACTTCCAAATGCATTATCAGAATTTGACAATTCCTAGAGGAAAAAAATCAATGTTAGACCATTCTGTAAAATAAGCAATTAATAAGTAAATTAATAAAAGAGAACATAGAGATTTAGCATCATTACATATAAATACAGCATTATTAATGTGATAATGAATATTTTTTAACTCAATCATCCAATCTTTCAAGAAGAAAGAACACGTACATCATCATTCAATATTATAGCATTGTGGGGAGTTTCTACGTGCATGATGAAAGTTAAGAGAGCTTTTTGGGTAATGGATGAAATAATATAAAATATTTCCTCCGTCTCAAAAATGTCACATTATGCAGTATGAAGAAAATTTTTGAATTTTTTCCATTTATTTTTATTTAAAATATGATATACGGAGTACTACATATATAAATAAAAAGTAAAAATTACATATTTAAGTATTATGTATTCCAATTACATCTCTATACTTCATTTCTATATATACATCTTTTTCATGAATCTTTAGGCTCCATCCTTATTTTTATTTTTTTTCTATTTTTGTAACTCATTTGATAAAATAATACTGAATATAAAAATGTCATCCTTGTTTTGTAAAATGTTTGATTTGTATATATAATTTTTGAATATGTGAATTTTATTTTTAAATTCTCTCTCAATTCTCAAATAAATTACATTAAAAACCAACTTCAGTCAAATACGGAGTATCATAAATTGAAACAAGCGATTTAAATTAGAACGGTTGACTAACATTATTTTCAAAGATACTACTCCCTCTGTCCCATTTTAAATTGTCTGTTTGCTTTTTTTCTCCGTCCCTAAATAAGTTGTCTGTTAGTTGTTTTTGTAAACTTTTAAAAATTAAAAACCTAAACTACTCCTAAAATAAGTCACTTTTCTTCACCTTATCTTCTCATTCATCGTCACCCTCCTAAAAAGTGATGGCAATTTTGAAAAATCAATTCTATTTTTTCTTTTTCTTAAATATGTCCAAAAGTCAAAACAGACGATTTAAAACAGGACGGAGGGAGTAGAATTTTAATCAATATTTGGGCACATAAAAACAAATGTGATGGTATGATGGTAGTACTCCATGCACCCAGCACGCCTAAATTCCACATTATGGATTCCACATTTAGTCTCGCTTTTAATTATTACTTTCTTTGTGTTCCAAATTAAAAAAAAATAATCAATTATATTCATATGATGAAATTATTTTTTTATACTTGTACATTTTTATTACTTATTTGATTTATTTTGTACGAATTTTTTACTCTACGTATACAGAGTAAAAAACAACATAACAATAAAACTGTTAATTCCGTTAGTTAGTTACATCATTTTTTAAGAGTAAAGAATTATTGTACGGAGTATGTGAATTCAGTAGAAAAATAAAAAAAATTAGGTGCAGACTCTTTGTAACCAATCTACAATTAAAGTCTAATTTACGATCTATCAGTGACTGTCCGCCCGGATCTGAAGAGCCATTGGGGATTGGGCTCATCCTTGGTAGAAAAATAAAAAAAATTAATTTATACATAGTAGTATAGTGCAGTACATCCTGAAGGTTACACCAAGAAAAGATTAAGGGCCTGTTTGGAAATAGCGTTAGCGATTAGCATCAGCGTTTTGGATAAAATTTTAACGGTGCAGATTAATTTGAAAACGCTAACGCTAAACGCTGCCCGTAGATAGCCTTTTGAAAACGCTAACGCTAATCGCCAAAGCTATTCCCAAACAGGCCCTAAAACGGTTGGAACTTGGAAGTGTTGGTTGGTTGGACTACCACATACTACTATATTTGGAGAGCAATGGTCGGTAGGCGTTGCCCAGTTGGAAAGACAAAGAGTGCCAAGTGGGTAAGACTTGAGTCCGATATCTGGCAACTGCGTTAGGAAACAATTATGCTAAACATATGACTTCTGTAAGTACCAGATGCATGCACCATTCGTTACTAACAATCTGTGATCATCTTATTTCCTTTTAGTGATTGTCCGGTCAAATCTAAATGAATCCTTGGAGATGGTGCTCATCCATTTTCTTGGAGAGCAAGGATTTGGAAGAGTCAAGAGACACATCAAGGAAATTCAAATGGAAGAGATAATTAATACTATCAAATTTCAATGGAGTATACATGTTTCTTTTCATGTGTGTGTGTCAAAGTATAACTAACAATGAGAGAATTTTCTCCCCAGTAATAAAAGTTACATGGAAGAATTTAAATCAAATGAATTTCAAGATCATATTAGATGAACTGGAATCATGTCTTCAAATAGTATTCCAATTTGTTGTTCCATCAATTCAAATTTGACACCTAACTCACACAGAATAATCTTAAGAGTAAGATAGAGGATAATATATACATACGTGAAGTGGGTTAGATTGTCAAATTTAGATCAGTGGGACACAAAATTAGGACATCATTTGAAGATAGAAGATCTCTAGCCCTATTTGACCTTGCGATAAAGTTTAAATTCAATGTTTTAAAAATAACATTCGAATATAATTTTTAGTTTTAATATTTTTAAATATTAATTTCTATGCTTAAAAATTTCTCTAGAAATCCCATTATTTGAGAATATTATTCTAAAAGTGGGCTTTTTTCTCTTCCAAACAAAGAGTAGAAGTATTTTTCGACAAATTAAAGTTAGGATTAAATATTTTGTGTTATAACTTCTGTTTTTTTAAGAATCTACTACCCTCAAACACCCTCAAAATAACAATTTAACTACCAAAAAACAATATTGAATAATAAAAAATCACAAAAACATTTTTTTAATAGCCATAAGCATTATCTATAGGGTTCAAAAAACACTTCCTTAGTACATAATTTCCTTAGTTCATCACGGAGTATGAAATTAAAGGCAAAAGGTAAGCAAATTAGACAAAGAACACTTTAGCTTTATTCTCATGTTTCTCGTCTTTGTTTAGTTGTCTTCTCAATAATGCCATGAAATTAGTCTTATACTAGCACATTTTTTAGTTTTTTTGGAGACTATACTTAGACGTGGCAAAACAGATATGGATTCGATAACTTGAATCGAATTCGAAATGACTCGAAAACTATAGAACCAAATAATAACCGAAAATTCAAAATAATATTAACCGAATCAGATGTATTCAAACTCAATTCAGATCCGAATCCAGTTGAACCCGAAAGTATAGTTCATCCAAACAAAGCAATAGTCGTTTTTTATTTACATACAAATAAAAAAGAAAATATAACAATTTTTTATTTATTGTTTTAATACTTACAAGGTATTTGTTAAAAATAACATAATCTTTTCATTTCTAAAGTCTGTATTTTATACTCAAGAATTCCACCGCTCGAACGACATAAAAGATCTCGTGTCTTTTTAATTCACTTTGTATTTCATTTACAGATTGATATAGAAATAAACAAAAGTCCCCGCGACTGCTGAAAAAGCAAGTGTGGCAAATATTTTGGGACGGATGAAGTATTATTTTACGGAGTATTACCTTTTTTTATTGGAATTAAATAAATCTAGATCAGATCAAAAACAATTTTAAAGATAATTATATTCAAATCAGATCATATCATATTATAATTTATTTCAATCAAATTAGAAAGATTGAAAAAAAATCAAATGTAAATGAAATTCAATTAAATTTTGTTAAGGTGGGTGAAAGTTTAATATAGAAACCAGTCTGTCTGTCATGGCGAAAGACGGTCACTAGACTGAGCAGTCTACCCTGAATAGCTCCCTCCCTCCCTCTATAGTCCAAACAACCGCAATTATGATCTCTCATGTGTCATCGTGTCATTCTTTTCTAGATTTATTTGATCTATTTTTTTAATCAAATATTTTTAATAATTTACTCCATCTAATAATAAAATGGGAAAAATATTTTGACCCCAAATTTGTGTAGCATTTACAATGATTCCTAAATCTACCTTTGCGCTAACTCCTCTCATATCAGCATTGCACTAACTTTTCATGATATCGCTCAAATGATATATATCGGTTTGGAAAACCAGCAATTCCTTTTTTTACATATTCATCATTTTTATCAAAAAATAAATTAAAAGATTACTATTGATTAAATATTAAATATTAAAATTTAAAAAATAAAATTGAAATAAAAAGTCAAATTGAATGCGTAGAAAAAGGTATAAAAATAAAAAATGAAATTGGAAAAAGAAATGGAGGAAGAAGAAGAAAAAAAGGAATCCGGCGCGACGGACCGCTTGCAGTTAGGCGGAAGCCGCGAAAACAGCCGCGGTTCCTGCACGGCTTGGCGCCGCAGCGTGCAGCGTGACGGAAGACAGACAATACTATATTACCACAATGTGAACTCTTATTTAGAGAATAAAAATATAAAACTTTTATTTTATTACTTTTTATATATTATATTTCTATTTAAGATAGATGATTTCTCTTCTTATAAATATTATATACGTTTACAGACTAAGGTCCTGTTTGGCATCAGCGTTAGAGGTTAGCGTTAGCGTTTGAAAAGGCTATCTAACGGTAACCTTTAGCGTTAGCGTTTTCCGAATTAATCTACACCGTTAATATTTTATCCAAAACGCTAACGCTAATTGAAAATGCTCTTCCCAAACAATGCTAACAAATTTGGGGCAAGAGTAAATTCCCTAATTTGGGTACTCAGTAATATTTAGTTATCTAAATAAAATTAACCCTAATTAAAAGCATTTAATTACAAAAAATGCCACCCACCGGCCACCTCTAGTCAAAATCAGATTAAATGGCCTCACCGCAGTGGGAGACTAGAGGAGATCACACAACACACAACAGATAGGCAAAGAGCCTTTTTAGAACAACAACGGTCACAACACACACAGTCTCTCTTACAAACACATCTCTCTCTCTCTTTCTCTTTCTCTCTCTGTACTGAGTACTACTGACATTTTTCCTCTCACCCATTGCATCATCCCTTTACCTGCAAAAGAAACAGAGATAAGAGGGACAGCCCCTCCACTGCGCCCTGCACCCCTATATGTCTTCACCCCTCCATCAAACAGAGAGAGAGAGTGAGAAAAGAAAAGAAAAAAAAAGAGAGATCTTTGAGATTAATGGCAAAAAAGAAGAGATCTTTGAATAATCATCTCAGCCACAGCTCAGAAAAGAGTCAACTTTTTACTCATTTCTAAGGCGGCTACTACCCTTCCTTCTTCTTCTTCTTCTCCCCCCTCATCAATGCGGTCACCCTATTCAAAGAATTGAATGATGGGATTTCTTTTCTTTTTTTTTTTCAATTTTAAAAAAAAAGAATCTTTATTTTAAATAGATAAATGAAATCTTAAATAGTGGTGGCTCGTTGGACGAGGTTGTTGGGTAGAACTAGATTTTGCCCTTGTCTTTATTATTCCCTTCTTCTTCTTCTTGGGTTAGTCCCTTGTTTGGTTCTGCTTGCACCAGAAATAAGCAACTTCTTGGGTTGGGAGGTAAAATTGCAGGGTATTTCTTGAGTGTACAGTGGGGTGGGTGAAAATGAAGTTTATGAAGCTGGGGTCGAAGCCTGATGCATTCCAATCTGATGGCAACTTCATCAGGTAAAAATCTGTTTTTTTGCCTATTGTTATTTCTTTTTACCATTTTGTCTTCTCTGGCCTTGAAATCAGCTGAGATTAAGTTTGAAAAAGTTACTTTATTTGGCAAATATGTGGATGTGAGTGTGGATAAGACATTTTTTGCTGATGAATGATGTGTGTCTCATCTTTTATTTTCCTTTCTTTCTTGAAATTACTTTTCATCTTGAAACAAAATCTCTGTGGGGTTTCTGTTTGTCCATACCATTTGTTACCACTGTTTTTGGTTGGCTGGACATCATTTTTCTTAAGCTTAAAATGAAAGACAACAAAAGATCACTTTTTTGCCCTATTTTTTGATTCTTCTTTGTTGGGTAAGGAAAAAAAAGAGTGGCAGTTGTGATAAGATGATCCTAGTTCATTCACTTTTATTTTTGTAAAGTTTATTTTTTATGCCCATAAATGGAAAGAATGAAATTTTACAAATTGCTTATGTGCCTAAAAAGAATGCAGTGGCTGATAGATCTTGATTTTGTACACTTATGGAGGTTTTCTTTGGGGGACATGATGTTTATTTCACCATTTTGTTTTCCCTGCAATTTACATGGTTGAGAAGAAAGTGAAAAAGATGAAAACTTTTATAGAAATTCATGTTATAATGCTGGTGTCCCTATATAAAGATTAAATCAAACTGTACTTGGAATGTAAATTAGGAAAAGAAGAATGAACCTTACATGTCCTCCCCTCCATAATCCCCTAACCAAACACACCCTAGTAAAAAACTGACAATTTTTCCCTAACATGATGGGATCATTTTAGCCCCAATAAGAGAAAAAAAAAGATTAACAATAAACCTCATCACTATGGTTCCCATGACTGACCGGACGGTCACTGATTATTGTTGGTCATGTGTTTTTATCAGATACGTGGCATCCGAGTTGGCACCCGATGTTATCGTCATTGTGGGAGAAGTAAAATTCTATCTTCACAAGGTAATTTTTGTTACATATCCTTGCTCGAACAGTGCATTGAAGAAGGTAAATTGAGCTGTAATCTTAGTAAGAAACTCTGAAACTTTGACTTTTGTGGCTCTTGGTTTTTACCTCATTCAATGTCCATGTACTCTTTAACAGATTGTGAACATGATTCTTAAAGTAAATCTTGCTCTTCAACAATGTGATACCAAATGTGACATGCTTTTTGCAGTTCCCTCTCTTGTCCAAGTCCAACAGATTGCAGACTCTCATTTCGAACGAGTCCGACCTAAGCTGCGACACCATTCAGCTGGACGATTTCCCCGGGGGACCGAAGGCCTTTGAGATATGCGCGAAATTCTGCTACGGGATGACCGTCACGCTCAATCCCTACATTGTCGCCGGGGCCCGGTGCGCGGCGGAGTATCTCGAGATGACGGAGGATGTCGAGAGGGGAAACCTTGTTTTCAAGATCGAGGTTTTCCTCAACTCGAGCATCCTCCGGAGCTGGAAGGACTCCATCATAGTCCTCCAAACCACAAAGTCCCTCCTCCCGTGGTCCGAGGACCTCCGGCTCGTGGCGCGGTGCGTGGATTCCGTCGCGTCGAAGATCTCGGTGGACCCCGCGAATGTCTCGTGGTCCTACACATGCAACCGAAGACTTCTCAAGAGCTCGAGCGTTGTAAGTGCTTCCGAGATCAAGACGGGGTCGGTTCCGACGGACTGGTGGGTGGAGGACATTTGCGAGCTTGAAATGGATCTCTACAAACGGGTCGTAACCGCCGTGAGATCAAAGGGGAAGACGAAGGAGGGGGTGATTGGGGAGGCGCTCCGAGCTTACACCGCGAGATGGGTCCCAGAATCTGCCCATTCCTCGTCGGAGTTCTCCGAATCTCGCAAGAATCTAATCGAAACAATCGCGTCGTTACTACCCCCGTCTGGAGTCGGTTGCTCGTGCAACTTTCTTCTGAGGTTGTTGAAGTTTGCCATTCTCGTCGACGCGGAGGATTCGACGTATGAGGTTCTATTAGAGAGTATAAGCACGAAGATCGACGAGGCTTCCGTCGACGAACTGTTGATCCCGGCTAGGGTTCCGCAAGCGGCCATCTACGACGTGGAATTGGTGAAGGATCTCGTGCGTCGGTTCGTGTCGGGAGGGAGCGAGAAAGGGCGGGGAGTGTCGTGGGTGAATTTGGGGAAGCTCGTGGATGGATATCTGAAGGAGGTGGCTCGTGATCCCGGGTTGAACCTGGACGGTTTCGTTGAATTGATTCGTTGCGTTCCTGAATCTGCTAGGCCAATTCACGACGGCCTCTATGATGCCATTGATATATATCTCCAGGTATGTTTGTGTTCATATATGCAAGAATGTTTTAGCTTTGGTTGTAGGTCTTAAAATAAGTTTAGGCTAAATGTTATGAACCGGTCACCGGAGCGCCTCTGGGTCATTTCATTATTTGTGTTGCAGGAGCATCCGGGCATGACCAAAGCAGACAAGAAGAAGCTGTGTGGGCAAATGGATGTCCGGAAGTTAACCACGGATGCGTCGATGCACGCAGCTCAGAACGAGCGGCTGCCGCTGCGGACGGTGGTTCAGGTACTGTATTTCGAGCAGAGCAGGGCGGCAGCCGGAGTTCAACTCCAACAACAGCCGCCTCTAACCAACAGCAGCAGCTGCTGCTCTGACGATTCGGGCGGCGGCTGTGGCGGCAGGGCGGCGGTCACTCACCACCATCATCAGCAACAGCAGCTCGTAGTCTGGGAGAAAGAGCCGGTACCCGACACCCGCAAGTTCGAAACGGACTGGACGGGCGTGGTCTCGGACAAGTACCCGCAGGCGGCAGCCGCCGCCCAGCTGTCAAAAAACGCGAGCTGCAAGAACAGAGGAGCGGCGGCGGCTCAGTTGCTGCCGTCGCGGTCGAGGAGAATCTTTGACAAGATATGGGCGGTCCGGAAGGGGGTCGGAAGCGGGGAGAACAGGAGCTCGGAGACGTCGGGCAGCTCGCAGAGCCCGAATTCGTTGCTTCAAGGCGGGGAAACTAACCAGTCCTCTGGTTCGTCTTCAAGAAACAGAAGGCACTCCATTTCTTAGTCTCTCTGCTAAAATCTTTGTGTAAAAAAGAAAAAAAGAGAGATTCTTGGATTCTATCTAGTAAATTAGTTAAAATCCGGTGTATTAGTAAAAAAAAATGTGACTCAAAAGTCAAAGTTATTTTGTTGTTTTTTGCCCATTCTGTCCCTCTCTGTCCCTTTGAAGATGTATCCTTGTTGACAAAACTAACTCTACTAGCCAAAATATTTCTCTTAATTTTCAACTATTTTCGTTCTGCAATTCCACATCATGCTCTTATTTTCAAAATTCCCATTGTGTCCATAACTTCACAAAATCGTTCATTTGGAATGAACCAACCCTAACCATGATCACGGGTCCGGGTACCGACTTGGCTGTCCAAAAAATGATGGGATTGGGTTTGACATTTTAAGGTAAGAGTTGGGCTCCGTCTTTATAAACAACGGCAAGGCCTGTATCCTCTAGAACAGGGCTCAGGTTTTATGTTCATGCCCAAGGATAGGTCTGGCCCGAATTAATATTACTCTATTACTTCTTCCGTTCCGGAGTATTCGTCTAATTTTGACTTTTAGAACTGTTCATCTAAGCACTTTAACTCATCAAATTTTCTCAGTGTGTAAGCCTAAATATAGTCATGCGTGATTTTGTTTGATTTGTCTTAACATATAGATTATTAATATATAATTTTAATATACAAATTACAAGATAAAATGGATTAAATAAGTGTATTGGATGGTGTGTAAAAATGAAAGTGGACAAATACTTTAGGACGGAGGTAGTATTTATTGTTGCTATAGTTATTATAAATTAATAATTAATTTCATTAATATAAATAATAGAAACAATACTATTTCAAATTACTCCATTATAAGCACATATAAATACTTCTATTGATGAAACGATGGAATTAGAAATGTACTCAGTACTAGGTGTTTAATAAAATGAATATATCTGTATTATTCTGTATTATTTACTCTGTATCACACATTGATGATATTTAAATAAATAACAATAACACTATCCTTTAAAGAAGTGACATAATAAAATAAAACACATTTTATATATTATTCGTTCTTTGACATACTAATTATAGTCATTACATAGCATTTAAAACAATACTTTGTTTTACAAAAATATTTTTAAATTATTTAGAAATTGTTGCCATGCATACTGGGCCGGACCCAAGCCCACTCTATCTACGTAGGTTGGGCTCAAGTTTCAATGGTTCTACGCGCAATACAGGACTAACCAGATTCGAGTCTAAAAAATTTCAATTATGTAACGTTTCGAAACAATCCAAAATCCGATCCGATCCAATCCATACTTTGATCAGCTCTAACCAAACCGCACCACATGTGCTGATGATGTGCAAAGACAAAAAAAATGAAAGGGGTAGAATCGACATTCAAACACATCACGCCACTCACTGAGTCACTCACAGTCTCAATATTTCTATCGGACTTACATCGTCGCCGTCGTCTCTCTCTCTCTCTCTCTCATTTGCCGATCGTGAATCGGAGTTTTCTGAGCTCAAACCCTAAAAATCTCCATTGAAGCGGCTTGAAGAAATCCAGAATTCAGTGTATGTTTCTTCATATGGATATTTATTACGTCTACGTGTTTGCATGTCTTCGGATTGTTCTCTGAGCTCTACCTTACGAGTCATGAGGCTTTAGGTTTCCTATATCTCGCTATTTTTCGGTGGCTCTATCTTTCTTCCTTCTTTATGAGAGCAATGTAGCTGTATGACAGTGTCTGCAACTCAGAAGATCTGGAAAATGGAAACGAGGCTTGAACATCTTTCGGTTGAATTTATTTATTTCTTCCTCTGTTCTTCTCTGCAACTCAGAAGATCTGTGTATTTTGAAGAGTGCCCAATTTGTTTATTTTTTGCATGTTAATGGTTTTGATTGGGCGTATAGGGTTTATCCTGGGTTTAATTTGGGGTTGGAGCTATTTTGACTTTGGCTTTTAAGTTTGTTGACTTTTAATTTTCATTGAGTGCAGAAGAGGCTGGTATGCAACTCCATGACTTACAAACCTCTTATGTGTAAAAGATTGTGTGCGCATTTTTTAAACCAGTACTTGGTGAATTGACTATTGGACTCTATGCATTCTGCCAGTTTTTAATTTTAGAGATTTTTTCCTTTGTTATGCTATATTTGAAACTTCAGTGGTTAGCATTCCCTTTATGTACATTTGTATAGATGGGGTAAAGTGTTTATTTGGTAAACAACTGCCTAATTTCTTGTTCACTATTGGCCCTTATGGTGTTGAGGATAATCTTATCTTTGATTCATTGGGATACTAATTGTCTCTTACAAATCTGATGTATATAAATGCCAGCAACATGAGAGATGGGGCTGGACCTAGCACGGGAAAGGAGAAATCAAATGGTTATCAAAAGATGGACATAGATTTCGAAGATCTTGAGTTTGATGAAGAGGAAGATGAATTTGACGAGCCACTCGATGAAGCTGCTTTACAAGAAATGAATCTGAGCAAAAAGAAATTGGGTGATTTTTGCAAAAAAGTAGGCACCTCATTTTTTGACAAGTATGGTCTGATAAGTCACCAGATCAATTCATACAATGACTTCATCAAACATGGAATCCAGAAAGTGTTTGACTCCATTGGAGATATTGTAGTTGAGCCTGGATATGATCCATCAAAGAAGGGTGACAGTGACTGGAGGTATGCATCCATAAAGTTCGAGAAGCCGACCCTTGCCCCACCAACTTATTACCTTAGCGAAAAGTTCTCCCAAGATGGCTGCGACGAATCTCCGCCATTGTTGCCCCGACATGCCCGCCTTCAGTTCATGACATATGCGGCTAGGATAACAGTTCAGGCTCATGTTAAGGTTTGTGCATTCTTTTCATTGGCTTGTTTTTTTAGTTGACCGTATAGAAACTTGAGTATTTAGTTGTGCTAGTTGATCCTATTATGTTGTTACACTTGCACACTAACCAAAAATTAGAAAAACCATGTTGTCACTCACACAGCCACGTGTATAATCATTTTATCCAATTCATTCCAACCACATTATATGTGTGTGTGTGTGTACATATCTATGTATGCATATATGTATGCTAAACCTAACTTAGCGGTGGTCTGCTGTTGTTGTGTATTTTTGCTGCTTCTTAGTTTGTTTGTGTTCAGGTTTGGCACAATCAGAGTATTGGTTTGACTAGCTATTTGCTCATGTGGTACATTCAGTTCTCTTGAGTCTTGATAGATTGTTAATAATCTAATTATGCTCTGGCGTCAGGAGGAAGAAAATCATATCTTTCCAAAGGGGCCATGGTGCTGCATTTACATTTATTATTGCTTTGTTGTCGCCCTTGCTTGTCAATTTCAAATATGAACACTTCTCGTGAGTCATGACTATGGCTATTATACTCTTTGGATTTCTTGGCGCGTCCCTATAAACCACATCATCCTTCATCATTATCATGTACATGCTATTGAACTATGTTTCCCTTGGAATGCTTTTAGGTCTACACTAAAAGACGAGTCCGAAGTGACAAGTTTAAAACTGGAGTAGACCAGTATGTTGCAGATGATTGCCTGTCAGAGGATTCTACAACTGTTGGCATAGGGAGTATACCCGTGATGGTCAACTCGGACCTCTGCTGGATGAGTAAAGCAAACAAGAAGCCAGATTGTGAATTTGATCATGGTGGATATTTTATCGTCAAAGGGGCGGAAAAGGTCGTGCGATTTTCATTTATTTTCCTTGCTACTTTTAGTACGTTGTCATCTATACCATTTATCTTGGACTTGGTACATATAATGTTGCAGTCACATTTAGTACATAGGTTTCTCCTTTAGTTATTTTCTTTGAAAAAAATGGAGAATTGAAATGTTAAACATAAGACACCTCTACTTCTCTTGTTTATCAAATGTGTAATTAGAAATATTTTCTTCAGTTTCTCTCTTTTCTTGGAATACCTTTTTTTTCCATTCCAAAATGAGAGTCTGGAAAACACGGTCATCTTACCTGTCTGCCATTGGGGTAATTGCGGCCACCTCTGCCACAGTCAGCCACTCTCACATTATGGGCTAATGCTGACAACGGTGGCCGCCATTCCCATTGTTGGCCAGTTGGCCACTAAAGCCGCCAGCAGTTATTGCCTTATTGGTGGTGTCTGCCAAGCCAATCATTTTGGTTTCATTCTTTATTTTGAATAATAAATTCAAGCCACTCTATTTTAAGTTGATTATTGGTACGTTCCAGTGTATGAAATTTGTTTCATATTTTACATATTGACGGACACTTTTTGCAGACCTTTATTGCTCAGGAGCAAATATGCTTAAAAAGACTTTGGGTAGCTAACATTCCAAATTGGATGGTTTCATACCGCCCGGTTGCGAAGAGGAACAGAGTGTACATAAAGCTGATAGATTCCTCAAAAGTTGAAAACGTGGCTAGTGGAGGGGAAAAAGTCCTGAATGTGTATTTTTCTGTGGTAGAAATGCCTATTTGGATATTCTTCTTTGCGCTTGGTGTATCCTCAGATAAAGAGGTGGTCAACTTGTGTGATGTAGATGTGGAGGACACTGATATCGTGAATATAATTGTTGCTTCCATACACGACGCTGATAATAAGTGTGAGTCCTTCAGAAAACAGCAAGTAGCTCTGAATTATGTTTCTGAACTAATGAAGAGCTGTAAATTTCCTCCTCAAGAATCTATAGAAGACTGCATAAACAACTTCCTGTTCCCTAATCTCAACAGCTTTAAGAAGAAAGCGCGCTTTCTTGGCTATATGGTGAAATGCCTCCTTCAGGCTTATACTGGTCGGAGGAAAGTGGACAACAGAGATGATTTTAGAAATAAGAGGATGGAACTTGCTAATGAGCTGCTTGAACGAGAGCTCAGAGTGCACCTTAAACATGCAGAGAGGCGTATGACCAAAGCAATGCAAAGAGATCTGTATGGAGATAGAGAGTTGCATCCGATTGAACACTATTGGGATGCATCAATAGTTACTAATGGTCTTTCCAGGGCGTTTTCTACTGGAGCATGGACACATCCATACAAGAGAATGGAGAGGGTATCTGGTGTGGTGGCAAACCTTAGACGAACTAACCCGTTGCAAATGACGGCTGATATGAGGAAAACACGCCAGCAAGTGTCATACACTGGCAAAGTTGGTGATGCTAGATATCCGTAAGAACTGTGAATCTTGAGAGGAGCCTTTTCCATGTTATTGCATTTTAAATATCTGGATTACTTTATTATATTATTTATATTCATAGGTTTTCTTTCATTCATTGAATAACATCAACACCCAATATAATCCCATCTTCATTGGGGTCTGGGCCCTGGTGGCTCAACATACACAAAATTTTACCCTTAAAAAAGTGGTTTTTATTATACCAGTGATGCATTGTTGCATTTACTCCCCAAAACTGCATACAAAGTAAGAAGCAAGGGAATTTCATGTAACATTTTGATATAGTCCATTATTTACATGAAGCTCAAACATCGTAAAAAATGATTCTTTTAGCTACATTGGCAATGGCTTATATAGGTTCTTTTTTAACAAAAGAGATTATCATGGATATTAATATTCATTTTTTCCGAGCTTTGTGTGATTTAAGATGTGGAGAAAATCCTGCAGTAATCAAAGCTGAATTGCAATGAATTAGAAATCGCTCCTTGTCTCTACTAGAAGCTTATCTTTGTTATATAACCTAATTGACAATAATCACAATGTAAACTGTTTATGGGCAACACACATTCAATTTGTTGTTATTTGTTTCTCTTCTCATTGATATTAAAGTTGAACAAATTTCTGTACAGGCATCCATCACACTGGGGGAAAGTTTGCTTTCTCTCTACCCCAGATGGAGAAAACTGTGGGCTGGTAAAAAACTTGGCCAGTTTGGGTCTTGTCAGCACAAACATTGTGGAACCGTTTCTTGATAAGCTCTTTGGTTGTGGAATGGAATCACTGGTGGACAATACTTCAACAATACTTCACAGGAAGCACAAAATATTTCTTGATGGAGATTGGGTAGGAGTATGCGAAGATCCTGTATATTTTGCCTTGAAACTAAGGCGTATGCGGCGCAGGGGTGAAGTGCCACTTCAGGTCATCCTATAATTATTTGAAACAATCTTCGGCATTCCTTCTGGCCCCATTAAAGAATCCTCTTTGGAAACTTATATTTCCCAAAAAAAATTTAAAAACTCCGCTTTGAATAAATGGGGCTAATGATTTTCAAAAAAAAAGTTTTCTAAAGTTAAATATTTAAAAACATAGAAAAATAATTTTTTTTCTTTTTAAGTATACCACTTTTGATGGTTTTCAACTAGTTGTGCCTGACTAAAATTTATAGGTTGTAAATTATCATAGATTTTTTGGGTACAACAGATGGAAGTATTTAGAGGCAGAATTCCGATATCACTAGCTCAAATATTGTTAAGAATCCACATACTGTTACTTACATGTTGTTATCCTCAATTTCATTCCTATTCTAAACTAGACTTTACTTTCTTTTTCCATTCTAGGTTGAAATCAAGCGGGATGAACAGCAAAAGGAAGTCCGTATATTTTCTGATGCTGGGCGAATTATGAGACCTCTTCTTGTTGTTGAAAATCTAAAGAAGGTTCAACTTCTCAAAGATGGAGAGTCCTTTCAATCTTTTCTGGACAATGGGATTGTCGAACTCATTGGTGCAGAAGAAGAGGAAGATTGTAGAACTGCTTGGGGAATCAACTATCTCTTGGAGGGAAGCAAGGAGAACCCTCCGGCTAAGTACACACATTGTGAGCTTGACTTATCATTCCTGTTGGGTTTGAGCTGCGGGATTATTCCTTTTGCCAACCATGATCATGCAAGGAGGGTTCTATACCAGTCAGAGAAGCATAGTCAGCAAGCCATTGGGTTCTCCACTTTGAACCCAAGCATTAGAATAGATACAAATACTCATCAAATGTATTATCCTCAGAGGCCTCTTTTTCGTACCATGCTGTCTGATTGCCTTGGAAAGCCCAAAGATCCCCATTATCATAAATCAATGCTTCCACGGCCTGAGTTCTACAATGGACAATGTGCAATCGTGGCAGTCAATGTTCACCTTGGATACAACCAAGAGGACTCTTTAGTGATGAATCGTTCTTCTTTGGAGCGGGGTATGTTCAGGTCAGAGCATATTAGAAGTTACAAGGCTGAGACTGAAAGTAAGGAAGGCATGGGGAAAAAAGCAAAATTTGAAGATACAGTGGTGTTTGGGAAGACACAAAGTAAAATAGGACGTGTTGACAGTCTGGACGATGATGGATTTCCATTCATCGGTGCAAACCTTCAGAGTGGTGACATTGTAATTGGGAAATATGCAGATTCAGGGGCTGATCAAAGTGTAAAACTGAAGCATACTGAAAGAGGCATGGTTCAGAAGGTCATTCTCTCTACTAATGATGATGGAAAGAATTTTGCTGTTGTGTCTTTGAGACAGGTAGTACATCTTTAAAAGTCTGGTTGCATTTATGTTTGTGTGTAAGCTCATTTATGTTCAGGATCGTATACTCGTTCCATCACAAAAAAAGTCTTGTTTCACCAAGACACAACTTTTGAATATCAGTAAGGTACAACTCTATAAATAGTGCTTGAGCCAGGGTCTTTTGGAAACCTCTCTACCTTTTCTAGGTAGGGATAGGGTTTGCGCACGCCCTCCCCCCATCCGTGAGACTTAAATGGGTTGTTGTTATACAACCTCTCTACCTTTTATAGAATGCAAAGCTCTCTTTTTCCACTTTTACCTGATGCCTTAAAAACCAACATGCAAGTTTCCGAAAGGCATTTTTTAGTGAAGGGGAAGGCAGAGGATGTTGTTCATTTTAAGAAAATATTATTGTAAATTGCTTATTTTCAAAAGAGTGATATGAACTGATAAATCATTTCACACTAGTTGCTCTACTCATTTATTTATAACCATAAACCATATATATTTCTCATTTTAAGAATAAAAATAACCCATCATCTTCCATTTTCTCTCCAAAGAGTAAAACCCCTCCCCCCTCCCAAAAAAATCAAACTGTCATTATATGATGCTGATGGCAACTCTTGCCTCCAGGTTCGTTCTCCTTGCCTTGGAGACAAATTTTCAAGTATGCATGGGCAGAAGGGTGTTCTTGGTTTTCTGGAATCTCAAGAGAATTTCCCTTTTACGGTGCAAGGGATAGTCCCGGACATAGTTATAAACCCACATGCATTTCCTTCACGTCAAACACCGGGCCAACTTCTTGAAGCAGCCTTGGGAAAGGTCATTTCCTTAGGAAAGCACATTGGCCACCGAGCAGATCTGAAATATGCNTAAAACCCCTCCCCCCTCCCAAAAAAATCAAACTGTCATTATATGATGCTGATGGCAACTCTTGCCTCCAGGTTCGTTCTCCTTGCCTTGGAGACAAATTTTCAAGTATGCATGGGCAGAAGGGTGTTCTTGGTTTTCTGGAATCTCAAGAGAATTTCCCTTTTACGGTGCAAGGGATAGTCCCGGACATAGTTATAAACCCACATGCATTTCCTTCACGTCAAACACCGGGCCAACTTCTTGAAGCAGCCTTGGGAAAGGTCATTTCCTTAGGAAAGCACATTGGCCACCGAGCAGATCTGAAATATGCTACGCCATTCTCCACTCCATCAGTTGATGAAATTACAAGGAACCTTCATAGGTAATGAATAGCTTGAAGCAAAAAAAAGCTTTTTATACAGTTTTGTTCCTTGATCTGCACGCAAAAGTTTAGGATTAGACTATATGTACACCAAAGCATGATCTAAGAATATAAGATATGGCTGATTTTGCAGTCTTGGGTTCTCAAGATGGGGAAACGAGAGAGTATACAATGGACGGACGGGCGAAATGATCCAGTCCCTAGTTTTCATGGGCCCAACATTCTACCAGCGGCTCACCCACATGGCAGAGGACAAAGTGAAGTTCCGGAACACGGGGCCCGTCCATCCCCTTACCCGCCAGCCCGTGGCTGACCGGAAGCGTTTTGGAGGGATCAAATTCGGGGAGATGGAACGCGATTGCCTCATAGCCCATGGTGCTGCTGCAAACCTCCACGAACGGCTCTTCACGCTCAGCGACTCTTCCCAGATGCACATATGCAGGAAGTGCAAGAACATGGCGAACGTGATCCAGCGCCCGGTTGTGGGCGGGCGTAAGGTCAGGGGTCCCTATTGCAGGTTCTGTGAATCTGTGGAGGACATTGTGAGGGTGAATGTGCCCTATGGGGCAAAGCTTTTGTGTCAGGAGCTCTTCAGTATGGGCCTGTCACTGAAATTTGACACTGAGGTGTGCTGAGAGAGCAAAGCAGCTGTAGGGGTAGTTTTTGTAACAATTCAAGGAATTGTTGTGGAAGTGTTGTTGTCTTTAATCTTATTTTGCTTTGTGCCTTATTATTATCAAAACTCTTATTTAAAGGAAATTGGATCAAAACACTACGAAGTATGGACGACTGAACAAAAATGTTACTCCCTCTCTCTCTCTTCTCAAATGTCTTTTTTTGTAGGGAAAGATTCTCATTACTTCTTTTAACATTTGAAACCCCACAGTTACTCTATCTTTCTTTACTTATTACTCTTGTCCAAAAATTTCTTTGATTTGACTTGGCATGTAGATTAAGAAAATTAAATAAAATATAAAGGCTTTTCATATATCGCTCTTGATGTGATGAAATAAAATGAATAATGTAGATAAAAAGTAAGGGTATAATGACACATTAATCAAAAGTATTTTACCAAAATAGGAAACGAGAAAGAAATTTTTGGACAATCCAAAAAGGAAAGTCAGAAAGAAATAAATAGACAGAGGGAGTACATCTCACCTAATGCTCCACCACTTTCATTAGATATAATTTGGTAAATTTTCTTCTTTTTTCAACTTTTCTTAAAAATTGTAAAAAAAATCTACTTAAAGTTCTTCCGGAAAAGATTATAAAGTATGAAATTGACTAATATATACACTCTGTAGCATCTATTTATCACATATGCTGGCCAATATTCAAATTAAATTGCATATTTATTATTTATACGCTCAAATTTCATTCACGCTCTATCCATATTTTTTAACTCATTTGATAAAATAATATAGTTATGTTACCTCGTATTCTATAGAACTTTTGATATAATTTTTAAGTAGGTAAATTTTATTTTTTATTTCTACTCCTACGCTTAAATAAATTGTATTGAAAATAACTTCAACCAAATATCGTAGGCCAAAATAGACGATTTAAATTGGGACGGTTGGAGTACATCAAAAATTCTATAAAACGAGAGGTGACATGATTATATTATATTATCAAATAAGTGACGAAAATTGATAAAAAAAATAAATAAACTTTGATTCAGTGAATAATAAACATACAACTTAAATTGAGAAAAGGGAGTAACTCATTTAAAGGGATAGCCAGTGTCATCCTAGTGTCATCCAGAGACACTCAAAGTGAGTTGCTCTAGAATGTTTTTTGTGGGGGTGAGACTAGACCAAACACTTTTTTGCACGACTTTAAACTACACAATTTCACTTTTTTCTTAATATATATTCTTACCTAATCAAACGTGAAATGTTTTTGGAGATAGAGAGAGTTGTGTTTTAATTTTATTGACCGAGGGCGGTTCAAATGACATTGATACCTAATGTTAGCATCACCCAAAGTGTCGGGTGTTCCGTTAAAAAAACCGGGGTGTAGTGTATATACACCCATTACAAATGAGGGAGATGAGTATAATCCCTAAAAGGCTAAAAGTTGATGAAACAATGTCAAACAGCCTTTTAGACAAATACTAGTCCTTTTTTTTTTGGAATGAAAAGTTTGTTCACCAAACACTCCAAGATCCAACTTTGAAAAACATGGGACAAAAACCATAACAACAACAAATAATAACAAGAGACCTTGGCTCAAACATAAAAACACAGACAAATTAAACACAGTAGCACAAACACAGTAGGGACACAGACAAAATGCATTTGCTGGCACATATCCAATCAAAAGATTAGTTTATCCCAGAAAAAAGATGAAAAAATTGTAGCAGATGACTCAAAGAAACATCCTTTTTCTGGGTTGTGAATTCAACCCACTTAGCTCAACTATTCTGAATTCAAATATTAAAATCAGATCATTACAGCTTCCAAATGCAGAATGAATTCCAAATATATCAATATCCAGATAACAAACAAACCTCTAACACAGAAAACTTGAAGTTTCACAAAAAAGGCTGGAGAAGTCAGAGAGTCTTCTACGCATCTTCAAGCCGTATAATATGAGTTCTTCGCCTTCTTACCTGTTAGGAGGTAGTAGCACTTGGTCAGCAATTTCTTAGCCAAACAAATCCCATTGAAACAAGTCAACAACCATTTGCATCAAAATCCATAATGATAATAATACTCTGTAATAATAATAATAATAATAATAATAGTAACAGTAATAACAACAGAATGCCAAGACTAATATAGTTGAAGAAAACACAAATATTAGCAGTCAAATCAGACACACAAATATTAGAAACGGGCTCAAGCCCAATTTAATTGCTCCCTTGGATGAAGTCTGGACAGTGAAAAAAATTGACCCACAACTTAATTGCGTCAATTGCAAACGCCATACGCCATAATTAGCATCGAAAATGGCGATCGCCATGCCTCAAGGACATCGCCATGCACAGCCCAATCCAGGCGCCATAGCCTCCCCACAGCGCCATAAAAGCCATAGGCGATCAAGGCGCTCGCCTTTCATAACTATGCATAAGAAACAACCCCACCCCTAAAAAACGACAGTAAAAAAATCTAAAGATTTAGAAAAAGAAAGATCAAGAATGGTTGTCCCTCCCAATACATACAAATATGGTCCAATCAATCAGCTTGAAAGAAAGAATTTACCCTAGAGATATTATTAAAAACATGGTAGACTGTACTTTTCCCTTTTTTTACTACGACAGAAAAGGCAAAATAAGTTTCACCTTGACAAAAAAATTGCAGTTGGGTTTCCAGGAGTTGGGGGATTCTGATTCAATAGAGAGGCAAAAGAACCAGCTTTAGAACGAGCATCGGGGTCGGTTGAAGACAGAACCTCCACCTCTTCAACACCCATTTGTCCAAGCTGGAGCTTAATCAACTCCTTGTTCTCCTGCAGAATCTGAATCTCCCCAAACGGAAGCCTCAAATCCAATGCATGAACCCCAAGTTTAAGAGCTTCATCCTTCTTGAATCTCAGGAACGGCATGCAGAGTTTCTGTGTCTGTTTGAAGTTTGTGGACTGACCCACACTGCTCTTCTGCAATGCCTCCAAGATTTCCACATCTGGAGTGAAAGCATTTGTATTTATGTCAAACTTGCTTTGAAGAATTCTCAAGCATTCAGCTTGCCATCCATCAAACTGCTCATTCACATATATTAAGCACTTCAACTGCTTGTCCTCTAGAGTATTGACAGATATGGCCCCCTTTTTCTTGGAACCACCTGAAATTTGTTTCTGGAGAAGCTTCCTCAATAAAACAATGGAATCTTGCAGATATTTGTTGGCTTTCTGAAGGGTTGGGTCGGGGGCATCAGCGGCGGGCCAACCCGAGTTGATGACAAAGCCATCATTCTTCAATAGCTCCCGCCACACGTACTCGGCATAGTGAGGGCATATTGGGGCAATAAGCCGAGTTTGAACATCCATAAAACGCAACACCAAATCAAGATTCATCCCCCCGCTGCCACAAGAGTGCCTATATGCATCCCTGGCTGCTTGAAGATCATAAAAACCCGTCTTCAGAGCTTCACGAAACATGTAATCCTTGTAATTTTTCTCGGTAGTCTTAACAGCAATGTTTATCTCATTCTCAAACACCTGATCGGCAAATGTCGATGAGGTGGGACCTGACCTGAGAGACGATTTAGCAGCCAAAACCTCTTCCATCCATGCAATCTCCTTAGTGAGTCTCAATATTGCGGCATTAGCCGTGTCAAACACAAAATTTGCATCATCTACACCGTCACCAGCGTCAGCAAGAGAAAATCGTGTCGCATCGGCAGAGAATTCCTCGATGGCCTCACGGAGTGTCCGGAAGACTCCAGTAGACTTTGACATCTTCTCATGATTGAGCATAAGGTGACCATTGCACCTGAAACCTCGAGGCCAATTTTTTTTTGGCATGATGGCCGTGTGGTTGTAAATGCAAAATGTCAAGTGGTTCTGGATTAGGTCTTTCCCAGAGACTCTGAGATCAAAAGGGTACCAATATTCAAACTCATGCTTCATCTTATCAAGAAGGGTGGACGGAATATCAGAATCAGGATGAGGACCGCCACAGAAGATAAAATCCCATACCTCGTCAGTCAGTTGTGCCGGTTCAATCTGGCCTCTTGAGCTTCCATACATGTCTCCATTTTGCAAAATGTGGGAAATTGTGTAGTAAGCCATGTATATGGTTGAATCGGATAACGATTCCACAAGAAATTCTTCATCCCAAGGGATTCGGGTCCCTAGCCCAAAGGAACGAGAGCAAGCCCACTGGTTCAACCAACCAAAAGTGTGCTCAAATCCATGTCGGTTCTCATCAGAGTAAAGACTCATACCAGATAAGCACTCCTCGGCTAGGTTCTTCCATTCAGGTTCCCCATAAGTGATGTACCATTGATCCGTAAGAGCAACAACACATTCATCATCAGATCTGGAAACAACTTTTTTCTCTGGCTCGCTATACATTATAGCCAGTCCCTCCTCAATAAGCTTCATCTTGAGGAGTGGTTTGACTTCATTGACTTTTCTCCCAGCAAATTCTCCGACAGTCATTATTCCATCTGTGAACCCTTTCAAGTATGTCAGCTTCTTTGCTTCCGCGAGTTTCTCTTTCTCATTCTGGCTTTTGATTTTCAGATCAATGCAAACTTTTTCGGCTGCCCTGTCTCCGAGTTCCGGAATGTCAATGATGGGTATGATATCAAAGGGTAAAACCCACTCATCCTTCACACCATACTTTTCTCGAAGGGCCGGTTTAGACTTTAAATCATGGAGAGCCATATAATCATCTGGTGCATCACTAGGAACACTTGTCACTATTCCAGTCCCTTTGTCAGTCAAAATAGTAAGCATCGGAAGAGCATATATAGTGTCATTAAGAGACAGAGGTGATTTTAATGGAAGGCCAATCAGATCACAACCGTTGAGCTGAACCAAGCATGTTGGTTTTTGAGGAAACCTGGAAAAATTCTGATAAGCAAGGTTAAGAGCTGCCCTTTCTGTCAGAATAAACACATCAGTCTCATTGATCTCAAAAGCTCCATATTTCCCATCTGGCAAAACCCAAGCGTTTGTCTGCCCGTACATCGTCTCTGGCCTCAAAGTTGCGGCCGCCAAGAAAACTCTTTTTCCTTCTAAAGGCCCAAACTTGGGAGGGAAAGGTCTCAACACTTCCATCTTGATGAGAGTGTACTCTTGTGGTTGAACTCCTTCACCGGTTGCCCTGTCATGATCTGCACATGGCTGGCCATCTCTGGGGCTGTAGATGGTGTACCGAACATCTTTTACAATTTTACCCATGGCCTTCAACTTTCTCATCTGCCACTTCACAAAAGAATCAAAATATGGGTTCATATCAGTGGTTATAAATGATCTGCGCCAATCACATCCCAACCCTAAAGCCTTTAGGTCTTCCATTGCAACAGGAGGAAAGAACTTCAACCATTCATAAGGATTCTGGAATTTTGATATCTCACTGTCCGAAAGACGAAAATCCTTCATGATCTCCCACTGGTACTTCTTTTTACCTGATTTTGCTGCCGCCTTAGATTTCTTCCCCTTGAATTTAGCATCCTCTGTAGGTTGAAATTGTTTTTCTGCGCTTGGTTGATCTTCTACTTGTTCTTCCTGAGCAGGAAATACAGGTGGATTTCCAAACTCTTGGATCTCTCGTGCAAGCTTATCAGCAGAAGCCTTAATGGGCATACCAGTACAATGGAAAGCAAAAGGCAATAGAACATTGGCACCAATCAATCGGTGGTAAGCTGCTGCAAATTCAAGCTTGGAGAGGGAGAAGGCATGGCCTAAGTGTAGAAAACCATTCATATAAGGAAATGGAAAGTTGCCAAAAAACTTGTCGCCAGGTTGTGGAGGAGTTTCTCCAGGTTCAGCAAAGAATACATTGGATTGGTCCCACCAAGTCCGCACCTTTGCTTCGATTTCCAGGAGACGGTCTCTCCTAGCAAAGCTTTTCCCAGTAGCCACCTCTGGTGTTGTTGTTGTTGACATCTGACAGACCCTACAGATGAATGAGAAATCATTGTTTCAGAACTGCTATAGAGAAGAATGAAAAACAGACAATGAATCAGAAGCACATATACCTGAATTTGTTGATGAGGAGCCCCTTAAGAGGGCAAGTAAGGTTCAGACTTCGAAAAATCTTGACACTGTTTTGCAACCTGAGATAGAATGAAGACAAAAATTACTCAGTGTATGTACAAAAATGATGGCACTAATATGTTATCAAGCCAAAAAATATTACATCATAGGTTCAGTACAAGTGAAAGTACTGATAAGGTACTTATCAAATGAAGCTGATAGGGTTTTCTTTGATCGAAATATGGTATGATGAGACATAGATCAATATATCATATCCCAACCAATAGTATTGCAGGGTTCAACTCTTTTGCAAACTTCTATACCACATAGAGCCCTATTCAATTACTCCACATCTGCTTTTGGCAAAACAGTTATTTCTAAAGGACATATGATGCAAAAATAACTCACTAAGATGCTGTTTAAATACAATTAGTAGGAGAGAATTGATTTAAAATACAAACATTTTAATTTGAAAAAAAATGGGGAAAAAAAAACCTTTTTTTAAATAATAAAGTAATTTTTAAAATATATAAATCTCAAATTCAAAAAAATGAACATGACAATTACTTATCTGAAACGTGAAAACAAAATGTTCACACACATGGCAAATATTGAATATTTATAGGGGTAATGGAAAGATGCCTGAAGTAGTGTGTTCAGGAATCAGGGGTGTCAAGAAACACCCAGATTTCTGGATTGAACGGAACCAAAAAAAAACTTTTTTTTACATAATACTCCGTATTTCCAAAAAACATATTCAGTAAAACACGAAATTTGACAAATTTAACAATTCGAGATCACAACCGAAATTTACCCCATGTTATTCATAATCAATGAGTCAACTACAGAACTACCCAAATAGTTTTAGAAGATAAAATTTAATCGAAGTACATGGCTGGAGATGAGAGTTCACCTTGGAAAGATGGGATTCGGAAATGGAGCTCGATCTAAGAGGACGAAGGGTGAAGACGTTTCCAGCTCCGATTGAAGTAGACTGGAGCCTCACTGTCTCCGCTGAGTGTTTACTCTGATGGAATAGAAGGATTAGGGTTTTTTAACGAGTAAAAGTCATTTATGCCCCTCTTCAAAGTAAACCCTTTTTTTTAGAATTAAAAAAATAAACGTTTGAAAATGTTTGAAGCCTCGGTTTGAAGCTTTGGTATTTCTAGTGAAACTATGATGTAAGTTAAAGGTGAGTTAAAGCTGATATGATAGAGAAAGATTTGAAGCTCCAATTTGAAGCTGGATATCGTTTCGCTTGCTTTCATGTGTGGGTCAGCTCACATAAGACTAATATTCTTTTATCCGAGAAAGATTTTTTTATTACATATTACAAGATTTGACCAAATTTATTTTCAATTCAATTTATTTAATTATAAGTGTAAAGAGCTAACTAAAAAATTAGGGGTGGGCACGGGCCGGTCCGGGTCAAGAATTCTATAAACCGGACTCGGCTTGTTTTTATTTAAACGGTCCGGGCCGGAACGGGTTTTCAAAATTTTAAAATTGAAACCGGACCTAACCCGGCTTGTTCGAAACGGGCCGATTCCACGGGTCAACGGGTCCAAAACATTTCATCATACATTAGTCAAATGTGTTCAATTATATCAGAGGTTTTCAAATGAAAAAAGGATTACGAACAAAATAAATGTATTCAATTTAGTTAAACAAACAAACAAATTGAAAAGTACAGTTATATTTGATGATTTCTAACAGTTGTTTCTAGAGGATTTCAAACATTTCTTTTATGGAATGAATGGAGTAAGCTTTATAATCTGTATAATTATTGTTCTTTGAATTCTGGAACTAGTTTATGCAGAGTATTGCTTGTACGGCCTAGTGAACTACTTACTCATGGAATTTCCTTCTCAGCACCTAAATTAAGTTCACATTTTTCACCAAGTTTACCCGTTGGAAAGAAGGAAAATGATAACGGAGTATTTTTTTAATGATGCAGGTTTTCCCCATTTACGGGTGTCCTGGTTTTTCAAAAGTCCTCTCACAGTATCTTGTTTCCAACTTTTGGTGTATCATAGATAGAAAGAATCATGTTTTTGATAGGCGATTTGAATTGGATCTGGACGCATAGATCTCCTACCTAAAAACTTCTGAACTCCATAAAAAACATTATTTTGACAAGTTTCATTGAATCTTCTCTCATAAATGGTCGAATACTGCTCAGATAAAAGCCCAACCGAATCGTACCTTAGTTTCGATCCCCCCCCCCGACTTAAACAAATCGAAACCGAAGAAGATGATCACAGTTTACGGATAAACACAGAGATTCGCAGCGTTAGAGTAAAGAGATAGAGTCATAGAGAGTACCAGGGATTGACGGGCGAGAGACGAGTTGCGATAGGGGAATTCTGTCCGGACACCACTGGTCACGCAGCGCTTCAGAAGCTCGACCTCATCGTGTATGCCCCGGAAGCTCCGTCTCTCCGTCTCATAGCCTGTGCTCGTCTCTGCATGTGCTCCGATTCACAGATTAGCCGCTGCAAAGGGTTCTGAAGGTCTGGCTTCTGGGAAAGACCGAAAGGATTGGGAGTTGGGAGATTGGGTAGGGCTTTGGCCCAAGTAAATGAGTAATACGGATAATAATAATAATAATATGGATTATTAACTAACGGGCCGGTCCGGGTCCTGGAAAATTTTAAAATTGAGAACCGGACCGGTCCAAAAACCTATAAGGCCCGGACCGGACCGACCCGTTATAATTTTTTTAAAAATGGACCCGCCCCTAACCCGGACCGAACTTGTCGGTTCGGTTCCGACTCACGGTTCCAGAACTCGTTTGCCCACCCCTATAAAAAATTCTATAAAATAAAAATGTGACATGATTGCATTGTTTTATATAATGGGTAGTGAATCCCGTCAGGTCGGGGGTACGGTGAGGGGCGCCCGGGGTGAGCGATTTCACCTTTTGGAGAATATAATGGGTAGTGAAAATAACAAACAAAGTAAATGTATGAACAAATTTTGACACTGTGAATAACATATTTCAATAGTGTTACAACACTATTCATAGTCCGGTTATGGTCAAGTCTTTCGGAAACGGGAAGGATTAAAATATGTTTTATATGCATATTAATTAAAATAAAATTTTCTATGTATCTATATCAAAATATGACATATATAATGCTAAGAAATGTCAACGTATAGTAAATACCGTGAGAAAATAATGCTCCCTCTGTTCCCCTAAGACCTTTTCATTTTGACTTTTTGTGCTTTTAAATAGAGTTGAAAAAATGTGAATGTTTACCATAATACCCTTAATGAAAATAGGTGGCGTGTATTAAATGAGGTGAGTAAGGTGTAATAAATAAAATAAGTGGGGGTAGTTGTATTATTTTAATTGTTAAAAAGCTAATGAGAAGATCTATGATGGACAAATAAAAAGAACTAATGGGAAGATCTACGGGAGACGGAGGAAGTATTAAATATCAACATACAATGTTAATTCGTGTCATTATGCAAAATTTTAAAATTCTCTCCTTTTTTATCAGAAATTATTCACAACTTATGCGGTTAAAATATAAATAAATTTAGGTTTTTCAGCTTTACCACATTTAATTTCTCTATATGAAACCATGGCCAGCTTATAAATAATAATTTTTTTATTTTTTATTAGCTTTCAATTTATACTTAGTAATTGCTCAATCAACATTTAGAATTCCACATATTTAGCTTAGTTGACAGCCCAGAGTAATAGTGTAAAAATGAGTACTTTTGTGGGACAATGATGTCAATTATTGAATTTTAAAATGTTAACATAAAATCATCATCCATTTGCTAAAGTATTCATACAAATTTTATTAGGGCAAAGCCATGATAACTACAGTCTCCATATGGATGACCTCTTGCTTTGCACATATACGTCGAGACGATAATTGTATGTCATCTGTGTAGTCTATGCAGAGCATGAAGTTACCAATGAGATAATTTAGCAAGGCCTTATCAACATTCTTGTTTGGTGAAATTAGGAGGTATGATAAAATATGTGTTTTGAAATTTAGGTGAAATGATATAAATTTTGAAATCTTAAACGAACTTGTTTAGAAAAATTCAAAATCATTATTTAATTAGTGATACACGGGAGTGACCGAAAACTGAGGTGACTGGCGGTGAGAATGTTAGCCGGTGACAATGAATGATGAACTATTACAAAAGAAGATCAAACTCTCAAATTGATAGCACTCAAACACACCTTTAATGTTTTAGTTTGGGTAGATTTGTTGAGGAGGTATGGCCGTATGGGTGGGCATGTTGGTTTGTTATATGAAAAAAATGTTCGTTATTAACGTTAATCCAACAAAGAAAATCTCAAAGCTTTTGTCTATTCCCCCCAATTCCCCAAACTTCCATTCCCTCCATCATTTTCTCTCTCTCTCTGCACCCCCAGGTTCCTCCCATTGAAAGCAAAGCTCTCATCTGACATTTTCTTTTCTTTTTTTTACAGAGTGAACGTGGAGGGGACGTGTGGGGGAAGAATTAGAAACCAAAAACATTTCTTGAAGACCCAACAAAATCCCTCCCCCCATGTTTTGGGTGTTTCCCGTCCCTTTCAAGATTTGAATTGGACCCCAATTCTGAGCCATGCATGAATATATATGCATTGATATTTTTCCAAGGATCGCAAAACCTAAAATGGGTTGGCGGGTTGGGTTTATTCGAATTAGGGTTGTCTGAGCATTTCCAAGATTCTTGGGGGGTGATTTTCCCGGATCTTGGCGCCAAAGATGGCTCTTTTGCGTAAGTTTTTCTACCGGAAGCCGCCGGAGGGGCTTTTGGAGATACCTGAAAGGGTTTTTGGTATGTCTGTGTCATTTTCTTTTAATTTGAGTATTTATCAAGTCTGAGTTCTATTGTTTTGGTTTCCATTTGTTGTAGTTGGATGGTACTGAGGATAAATGGTTATTAGATGCTTTTGGACTTTCCTCATGTTTATGTTTGGTTGGTTTTGGAATGTAAGATGAATTCTTTGGTTAATATAATTAGTAAGATGGACTTGTGATTAATGTTTAATGGGAAAATTTCTTTTTTCACCATCATTTATGTGTTTTTAGCAATTTTGCATGTCCTTAACTTTAGTTGTTCTGACCATCATCCCGTGAATACACGGGGACTAAAATCTTTAATGCTGAGGGACTGAAATTGACACAAGAGGTACAGCCAGATATTATTTGTGGAAATGACTAAAATTACTGAGGCCACATAAATATGGACGAAAATGCAAATTCCCCTTGTATTAATTTTGAGTTCTATCCTTTTATTTGTAACATCTATACTGAAGCAAATGTGTGTACTTTTGGATGCTGCATTCTTTGCATTAGTCAGTCTTTAGATCATGGGCCCGAATGGATGAAATGGCGAAAGATGTGGAGTTAATTTATCTCAGAGGAAGAGTATTTGGTTACCTCCATTTCGTCCAAACATTTAAGTGAAAAAGTAATGTTTGTTTATTTGGCCAATGAGCAGAATAAGCACCAGAACTGGCTACCCGACGGGCCCCATATAGTTTGCATTATAAGGAGTGATGTATTTAAAGCATATTGTGCTGATGTTTACCATTTCTTTGGCTTAACAGTCTTCGATTGCTGCTTTACCAGTGATGTTCTTGAAGATGACGAGTATGCCCTCTACATGGGAGGCATTGTCCATAATCTGTGCGACCATTTCCCCGATGCCTCATTCATGGTTTTTAATTTTAAGGACGGGGAATATGAAAGTCAGATAGAGAGCGTACTCGAAGACTACAACATGACCGTGGTCAACTACCCCCAACATTACGAAAACTGCCCCATACACACAATGGAGACAATCTATCACTTCTTGAAAGCGATCGAGAGTTGGCTATCACAAGGCCCCACAAACATTCTTTTATTGCATTGTGAGTTTGGGGGGTGGCCCGTTTTAGCCTTCATGCTGGCTGCCCTATTGATATTCAGGAGGCAATACACCGGGGAGCATAAAACATTAGACATGATCTACAAGCAAGCGCCTCGCGAGCTTCTTGAACTGATGATACCCTTAAACCCATTGCCTTCACAGTATAGGTACCTGCAGTATGTGTCGAGAAGAAATTTGGGCTCTGAATGGCCACCGCTTGATAGGGCTCTTACTTTAGAGTGCGTCATCATTAGACACATTCCTAATATGGATGGGGAAGGAGGGTGTCGTCCTATATTCAGGATATATGGGCAAGATCCCTTTATGGCTGCAGATAGGACACCTAAGGTTCTCTTCTCCACACCCAAAAATTGTAATGATGTCCGATATTATAAGCAGGTGGGTTTTTTCTCTTCTTATTTTCTTTTAATTTCATATTACACCTTGTTATGACTTGTTGTTGTTGTTGTTTGGGTTTCTATGCAACTCTATATGTAAGTTCAGCTAAATCTAACATTTTCAACTTGTTTGGCACACTTTCTTTTAAAAAGTTACACTGAAATAGAAATTAGTTTCATTCTTCAAACAATACAGAGTACTTTTTTGGGACAAAAAACAAGTTTTCAATGTGCTTTTTGTTCTTGAGTGGAGGTGTGTGGATAAAGTATTTTGTTTCTCCACATAAGCCATGATTCTCTTACTTTTCTTGCAGTTTTATTGGTTTTATCAAGTTGTGACATGACTAGTTAATGTTTTTAAGGTATTATGCTGCATTCTTGAATTAAGGTCTTTAGATTGAGGGTTTTGGAGGTGAATACATTGGAAGGCCTGGCCTCTTGATAAATACGGAGTTCTCCGTAAAATATTTGTAAAACGAATAAAGGGTGATCAAAATGTTAATGTTCACAATACAGAGAAGTGTTTACAAAACAAATAAAGGACGACTGAAATGTTATATCATCACTGATTATGTCATTCGTTAACAGGATTTTTAATGTTTTACTTGTTTCTCAATGGGACTTGGCCATGGAAATTATCTCAATTCTTTGCCGTCTCAACTGGATTAAATTTTCGATGACGACAGTTTTGAAATTTCATCCTTTGAAGGTCGCTGAAGGGCTTCTAGAGTTAAACCTTGTCGCTATGTTTTTCTTTTCTCATGAATTTATATTGTTAACAAATTTCATTCCGCCGTCCCCAACACACTTGAAGTTAAAAATCAAATCATTTGGTTTACTTTGTTGTAATTAATCAACCCTTTATCAATCGATAACTAGTTACACCAGTATAAACATCAATGGTAAAACATTAATACATTACCTTATGGAATGTCTCATATTCGTTTGCAGACAGATTGTGGGCTTATCAAAATTGACATCCATTGTCACGTACAAGGGGATGTAGTGCTCGAGTGTATCACCCTACACGAAAAGGACGATGAACTTGAATGTGAAGAGATGATGTTCCGTGTTGTATTCAACACTGCATTTATCAGATCAAACATTTTGATACTTAACCGCGATGAAGTTGATATGCTATGGGACGTGAAGGATCAATTCCCTATGGACTTTAGAGCAGAGGTATATATTTCTCTAATGTACCACCCCTTTGTCCCATAAAAAAAGTCCATTATTCCTTTTGGGCCGTCCCAATGTTTTTGTCCAGTCTCCTTTTAAAGCAAAAGTAAAGCACAATAA